AACACTCACTCTGCCCTGCACCTCAGCAGCTGAAATCCAGAATTTCCTTTGTCACTGGCCTCCTCCCTTGAGTCTGCTGGGTCAGCTCTCTCCGGCTGGAACTTGACTGAAAGGACGCAGCGACATTTCAGAAGCTCCTGCCGTGTGCCGGGCTCTGGGCCAGGCTCTGCCGGCTACAGAGGAGGGGCCACAGGCCCCAGGGGCAGGCACAGGAACAGAGACGAGCTCAGCCGGTGATGGGGTGGTGGCCCCCAGGTCTGCTCCTGGGCGTGTTGGTCAGTCACGAGATGGTTGAAGCAGGAGAAAGGAACATGGCTTCTTGCTCCTCGGCTCCAGTTTCCTCCTGGAAGGGACCACGTCACATCCCCTCACCTGTTATCATAGTAGCAACCCAGTCGAGTCATGTCCGTGACCAGCCCAGAGGTTAAGTGCTGACCCGCGTGTTTCCAGAAGGAGGAAAGTCAGAGATGCCCAGCGCCACTGAACGCCTGCTCGCCCTTGTTTCTGTGGGCTGTGTTGTCCTCGTGGGACATCGAGGAGCATGGCGGTGCAGAAACGGCGTAGGCATCGCTGCTGCCCCAGGGGAGCCACTGCCTTTTTGGTGTCACAGGTGGGAGCCCGGCATGCAGCTTGGCAACTTGGCGTCTTAAAGTACGATGGATGGCCCTGGCCGGTTTGGCTCAGCGGTGAGAGCGTCAGCCCACAGACCAGAGAGGCCCGGGTTCAGTTCCCGCTAAGGGCACGTGCCTCGGTTGCAGTTTGTCCCCGGCCCCGGGTTGGGGTCGTGTGGGTGGCAGCCACTCGAGGTGTCTCTCTCACATCGATGTTTCTCTCTTCCTTCCTCCCTCTCTCCTTCCCGCTCTATCTGAAGATAAATGCAAAAATGTCCTCGGGTGAGGATTTAAAAAAAAATAAAAAACATACAACGGGCGGGTCTTGGTGTTGTCTCACCGTCTCGATGAGCCCTTCGTCACCTGCACGCCGCAGCCCCAGCCGTCCTCCCTGGCACTGCTGGGCCAGTGTCTGAGATTATGGGCAGACTTTCTGAAGGGCCAAGTGGTCAATAATTTAGGCTTTGTGGATATGGTCTGTAACATACTTTTTTTTCTTTTTAGTAACCTTTTAAAAATGTTAAAACCAGCCCGGCTGGTGTGGCTCAGTGCATTGAGCATCATCCCAGGGACTGAGAGGTCCTGGTTTGATTCCCAGTCAGGCACAGGCCCGAGTTGTGGGCCTGATCCCTGTAGGGGGCGTGCAGGACCTGCTGATGGATGTCTCTCTCACGTCGATGTTTCTATTTCTCTTGAAAACAAATAGAATAAGAAACAAACAAAAGTGAAAACCACACTTGAATCACAGACCATGCAGAAACCAGCCTGCACTGGGGCCCTAGCTAGGGCGTGCTGAGCCCGGGGGTAAGCAGCGCTGCGAGCAGGTCCCCGAGGGCGTGAGGGTGCAGCCCTCGGCCGCCGCCCTCGCAGGTGGGGCGTGGCCCTCGCTCCCGAGGCTCTCCGTCCACACCGCGCAGTCGCCCTCCGCACGCGTGTGCCGACGGGCGGTCACTGAGAGGGTGTGCAGGCCTCTTACCTGACCTCCAGCCGCGTGTTTTCACGTGTGTCCTTCTTGCCACTTGGGGAGGAAATATTTTTCAATTGTGATTTGAACTTGCATTTCTTAAATAAGTAGGATGTTAAATATTTTTCCTACTTATTAGCTATTTGCTTTTTGTGAGCTGTTGAGTGCTTAGTCCTTTGTTCCATTGGGCTGTTTTTCTTACACAGAAATTATGTGAAACATTTTTTTAGTTTTCTTAGCTGTGCTATAAATATTTTTCTGTTTATTTCCTCTGTCTCCTGTTACTCTGTACCCGATTCTTGTCCGCTCACTGCGGTCAAGTCTGCCTTCCCCATTGGCTTTCTGTTGTGAAGGCTTTAACGGGCCTCAGACCCCGGCAGCTCGCGTGCAGTCCTCGCTCTGTGAGCCCATGGTGGCGGCGGCGGATTCTTGTCTGCTTGCTGCGGTCAAGTCTGCCTTCCCCATTGGCTTTCTGTTGTGAAGGCTTTAACGGGCCTCAGACCCCGCAGCTCGCGTGCAGTCCTCGCTCCGTGAGCCCATGGTGGCGGCGGCACTGCACCGGGCTCTCGCTGAGCCCTGAGGCTCAGCCGCTCGTCCGCTGGAGAGCCCCTCTCCCCCGGTGGCTGTCCTTACGCACTCCCAGCCTGGACTGGATGCATGGCAGTGCCAGCACCGGGGTGGGGTGGGGCTGGCGATTTCCTGTTGGTCTCGCTCTGGGGCTGGCAGGGGTCTGCAAGAACAGTCCTGTTTGGAAGGTGTGTCCAAACCTGGTCCACTGCTCTCACGCCAAGTTTCAGTTCAGAGGCCCATGGACAAGGGAGGCGCATGTTGACATTGACTGTGACACAGGGACAAAAGAGGGGCAGATGCAGCTGGACTCTTGGACAGGAGGTCAGCACTAGGCGGGGTGACCATGTGCGGGCAGGGACTCCATGGAAGGGAGGGAGCGCTGTCGGTTCCTTCAGGTGCTGAGCAGGTGATTCAGTCTGGCCACGGTGTTAACTGTTGTCAGTTATCCGCTAGTTAACTCCAGGCGGCCCGCCTGCTGGTAACCGTCGTCTTTACCACTAGTTAACTCCAGGCGGCCCGCCCGCTGGTAACCGTCGTCTTTACCACTAGTTAACTCCAGGCGGCCCGCCCGCTGGTAACCGTCGTCTTTACCACTAGTTAACTCCAGGCGGCCCGCCCACTGGTAAGTGTCGTCTTTACCACTAGTTAACTCCAGGCGGCCCGCCCGCTGGTAACCGTCGTCTTTACCACTAGTTAACTCCAGGCGGCCCGCCCGCTGGTAACTGTAGTCTTTACCACTAGTTAACTCCAGGCGGCCCGCCCGCAGGTAACCGTCGTCTTTACCACTAGTTAACTCCAGGCGGCCCGCCCGCTGGTAACCGTAGTCCTTACCACTAGTTAACTCCAGGCGGCCCGCCCGCTGGTAACCGTGGTCCTTACCACTAGTTAACTCCAGGCGGCCCGCCCGCTGGTAACCGTCGTCCTTACCACTAGTTAACTCCAGGCGGCCCGCCCGCTGGTAACCGTCGTCCTTACCACTAGTTAACTCCAGGCGGCCCGCCCGCTGGTAACCGTCGTCTTTACCACTAGTTAACTCCACTGGTAAGTGTCGTCTTTACCACTAGTTAACTCCAGGCGGCCCGCCCGCTGGTAAGTGTCGTCTTTACCACTAGTTAACTCCAGGCGGCCCGCCCGCTGGTAACCGTCGTCTTTACCACTAGTTAACTCCAGGCGGCCTGCCCGCTGGTAACTGTAGTCTTTACCACTAGTTAACTCCAGGCGGCCCGCCCGCAGGTAACCGTCGTCTTTACCACTAGTTAACTCCAGGCGGCCCGCCCGCTGGTAACCGTAGTCCTTACCACTAGTTAACTCCAGGCGGCCCGCCCGCTGGTAACTGTAGTCTTTACCACTAGTTAACTCCAGGCGGCCCGCCCGCAGGTAACCGTCGTCTTTACCACTAGTTAACTCCAGGCGGCCCGCCCGCTGGTAACCGTAGTCCTTACCACTAGTTAACTCCAGGCGGCCCGCCCACTGGTAACCGTGGTCCTTACCACTAGTTAACTCCAGGCGGCCTGCCCGCTGGTAACCGTAGTCCTTACCACTAGTTAACTCCAGGCGGCCCGCCCACTGGTAACCGTGGTCCTTACCACTAGTTAACTCCAGGCGGCCCGCCCGCAGGCCCCGCCAGAGTACCGGCCAGTGCGCTCCTGTTCATTTGCCAGAAAGCAAATTAGCATGTTCAATTGACTTCACTCACTCGGACCTAAACCCGTAGTCCTCAGGCACCTACATTTGCAAAGTTGGATGAATCATTTTTGAGAGGCTCATGATGTCTGGTGTTTAGAAATTAGGAAGAAAATGTGTGACGGTGCTGAGACAGTGTTTGTTTATACAAGTGAAAGGCGACACCATTAGAGTAGAGAAAGGATGGAGAGTATGTGGGTGGTTGAAACATTTTCTAGGTTGGTATCAAGGATAAAACTTTGATTACAAAGATTTTTTTAAAAGCTTTCTACACCTCAGACTAACATAAACACACATTAATGCCAAGTAACCACTGGAAAGATGCCACCCCTCTATGACAAGGGGTTGACAATTAACATCTGTGAGATGACGTGTCTGGGGGTCAAACCCGGGAGATCTGCCGAGGTTCTAGACGGGAAAGGGCCTCCTCCCTCGACACAGTCCACTTGGCGCTGTGTCCACAGCCAGTGTCCTGGCCAGCGGCTCCTCTCCCGGCCCCTCCCGGGGACAGGTCCTGCAGATGTGAGTGGAGACAAGCTATGACTCAGCTCGGTTTGTGCAGAGATGAGAAGCCCCCCAGTGTCCAGTGATAGGGACCCGGCTTGTCAATCCTGCTGCTGTACTATGAAATGCGAGGAAGCCCAGAGCCATCTGAAATACAGCTTTCCTTTTTTGTTGTCTTCTTTCTTCAACGGGTGCGGATTGCTTTTATAATCTTACAGAACAGCCTGATCCAGCATGCCACGTCATAAACAGCTGCCCGGCCTCATTCCCTGGTGCTCATTCCCCTCCTGTCCCTGTGTGCCTGTGAATGTGCCCAGGCTGGCATCTAGGAAGATGTCGGTGGCTCAGGGAGTGGCCACCACTGCGGGAGCAGTGACATTCAGCCACAGTTCTGTGGGCTCCTGGTGGGCACCAGGCAGGAGGGCGCAACAGCCCGGCCCGGCCAGCAGCCCAGTCACCATCAGGCCCCAGGGCTTGTAGAGGGTTCTGTTAGGGGCACGGTGGGCTTTACCAGCAGGACTATCATTTGCATGTGCAGGATGACAACAGCCCCGTGTGGGTGACATGAGCCACTGTCCGAGGGTGAATGCGGAAGGAGCAGGGGAACAAAGGACTGGGTGGGGCACAGTGAGGCCTTGAGGCCTGTGACCTCTCTCTCTGCGTTACAGCCTCCCAAAGTGAGATGCTTGACCAGGATGTGGCACCCCAACATCACAGAGACGGGCGAGATATGTCTGAGGTGAGTCCCCCTTCCTTCTTGCCTTCCACGTTACTGAGCACTGTGTGTGAGCCTGGACTTTCTTTTTTTTCTCACCTGAGAACATTTTTGCATTTATCTTCAGATAGAGCTGGAGAGAGAGAGAGAGAGAGAGAAACATCGATGTGAGAGAGACACATCGAGTGGTTGCCACCCACACGACCCCAACCAGGGCCAGGGGCAAAGTGCAACTGAGGTACGTGCCCTTAGTGGGAACCAAACCCAGGACTTTCTGGTCCGTGGGCCGTCGCTCTAACCACTGAGCAAAGCTGGCCAGGGCGAGCCTATACTTTCTAAAGGGGTGAGTTTGAGGCTGGCCATATTGAGAGGGTTGGAGACCACCCTGGGGCTTTGGGCTGCCTCCAGACTTCGGCCTCTTGTGCCTCGTGCTGGCCAAGGCTGTGCAGTGTCATGCAGCTGCCCGCCTGCCTGGGACGCCTGCCCCCGGGCCCTTACCCTTTTCTGTCCTGTTTGAATGAGGCCGCATTCCCTCCATGTGGCAGACTCGAGCTCGGGGAAATGTCATTCGTGGGATCCAGGAACAACCTTGCCCTTCTGCGCTTGTGACACTGGCCACTTTGGAAGGCAGTGCCCTGTGACTGCCCCTCGCTGTGCGGACAGCAAGGCCTCCTCCGTTCTCACAGGTCGATCCGTGCCCGTTTCCCACGTCTCGGGTCAGGCATGTTTTTACGTGGAAGCGCCGTGTCTGGGGGCGTGCCTGTCACAGGGCGCCTTCCCTCGGCAGTGCCGGCTGTGAGCACAGGGCTTGGGGCTGTGCCGTCCTCAGGGCAGGTGCCAGCTGGCGTCGGTCCAGCCTTGTCCTGGCTTTCACCTGTGTTCCTGCCCCTCTGTGCTGAGCTAGACCCGGAGCCAGATTCCTCTTGTCACTCGTGCTGGCTTCTGAGCCATTGGGTCCCAGCAGAGAGGGGCAGGAACCCAGCAGGTGCTAGCCTGCTGCCTCAGCCAGAGACCCGAGGGGAAGTCCTCGATCCGGATGGAAGACACAGGACCACACATCTAAAGTGAAGAGCATCTGGACTGTCATTTGTGACAGTCTGTGCCCGTCAGGATGAAAGAGGTGGACACTTGCCCTGGCCAGATGGCTCAGCTGATTGGAGTGCCGTCTTGTGCACTAAAAGTTTGCGGGTTCAACTTCTGGTCAGGCCACACTAGGTTAAGGGTTCAATCCCTGACTGGGTGCATACAGGAGTGAGCCAATTGATGTTTCTCCTTCTCTCCCCCCCTCTAACATAAATAAAAACCTATCCTCTGGTGAAAAATAGCCCTGGCCAGTTTGGCTCAGCAGTTAGAACATCGGCTTGCAGACCAAAGAATTGCGAGTTTGATTCTGATCAAGGGCACGTACCTCAGTTGCAGTTCGGTCCCTGGCCCTGGCCCGGGCCATGTGGGAGGTGACTAGTCGATGTACCTTTCTCACATCAATGTTTCTCTCTCTCTCTCTCTCTCTCTCTCTCTCTCTCTCTCTCTCTGAAGATAAATGGAAAGATATCCTTGGGTGAGGATTTAAAAAAGAAAAAGAAAGAACAAAAAGTGGACACCCCATGGGGACAGTGGGCATCGGATCGGCAGCAAACCAGTGGTGGGCAGAGGAGAAGTGGGCGGAAGCACGAAGGTGCTCAGTGTCCTGGGGGCTGTTAGGCTCCGACAGCAGCTTGTGATGCGCGTGGCTCAGCAGTGCAGACTCTTCCCACCAGAAGGAAGCTGCACAGGGCACAGGGTGACCCCTTATGTGAGGACATGCTCCATGTCTGCAGCTGCTGGGGCAGTGACAGACGCTTGCATCCAGCTGAGAACTAGGGCACCCTGACGCGTGAGACTCCCTGCGTGTGGTCCTCCCACTTGCAGGTGGCGCTGTCCAGGATTTTGTGTGAACCTGCCTTTATCCTTAAGGTCTCCCTTTGAGCTCTTTTTAAAACAGCTAAAAGCGTGTGCTAGGCGCTCAGCTGGTGCTAACCTGCAGCTCCTGGGGAGCTACCCACAGGTGGAGGCGGTGCTACCTCCCTCTGCAGTAGCTGAGGCATCAAGTGAGTTCAGGGTCAGGATGACACAGTAGGCAGTTCCCGGTGTCACTGCTGCCGTCACCGTCCGAGTGTCCAGGTGGCGGGGCTCCACATGTTCTGTTTCGAGCGTGCTTTTTCCGGCCGAGCCCCTCCGTGTCCACGCGGGATTGAAGACCTGCTTGCGCCGTAACTAGATGCACAGGAGTTCAGACTCGAGCACGGGCACGGCCTCGGAGGGCTTCTGAGAGGCCTTCTGCGCGGGACTGCGAGACCACGCAGGATGGCCACAGGAAATGTCGCTTTCCGGGGCACGGTGCGTGCCCAGAGCACCTGCCACTTGCGGGGTGAGGCTGCTCCTGCTGACCACTGTGCTTTCTGTCTGTTTCAGTTTACTGAGAGAACATTCGATCGACGGCACTGGCTGGGCTCCCACGAGGACACTGAAGGTAGGGTGCCCGTGACCACTGCCCTGCCCAGAGCCCTCTCCCTCAGTACCAGCCCCAGAAGAGCAGCAGGTGGCCAGGCACACCTTGCCCTCCCCTCCTCTCCCCACCACCCACTTCCCGCTGGCTGCCCGCCAGGCGCTCACCCACCCTCCCCTGCCCTTTCTCTGCGCGGAGGGCGTGTCAGGTCGTCTGCTCTCGCTGTGCCCGTGCCGTTGAGCTGCGGGTGACTCGGTCTCTGGCTTCTTCCCCTCCCCAGTCTGTGTAGTTGTCTTACCTTTATTTTTTTTCTATTTTTTTTCTTTATTGATGTTAGGGAGTGAGAAAGAGGGAAGAGACAGACACACCGATGAGAGAGAACATTCATTGGCCGCCTCTGGCATGGCCCCCACTGAGGATCCAACCAGTGACCTCTTGGTGCATGGGTCAGTGCTCACCCCCTGGCCACACCAGCCAGGCTGGTTGTCTTACCTTAAAGGAGGAAAGTTGCCGAGAAACTTGAAGGAAGAAAAGAATGGGCAGGCGTGATTTCTGTGTCCCTCCTGAGTTACATAGGGGGCGGCAGGACAGCAGCCGGCTCTGCCTTGGGAGAGGGCCCTGACCTAGGGGCGACATGTGGGGAGGGAGCCATGGGACTGGACCAAGGCCCCCTTGCTCCCCTAGCACGGGCTTGAGTTGCGTCCGGCGTCACGTCACAGTACCCACCTGAGCTGCCAGCTGTGGCCGCCCCTCGGCGTGTCTGCGTGGTGCCCAGGGGATGCCCGGGCTGCTTCATGCGCCTGACCTCTGAGGAGCAGCAGATCTGGGCAGCGCTCACTGGCTGGTAACTAGCTGCCTGACTGCTGCCATCGTTAGTGACTGATGAAGCGGTTCCCACCCGTCGTCGCCTGTGCCCTGCAGGGCTCGGGCATCTGCACCCCCACCCTGCACTTCGCTCGGCCTCAGACTCAGCACGAAAGCGTGGTCATCTGGGCCAGAGCTTCCCCAGTGACTGTCCTGCTCTGAGGCTGACAGTCTCAGCAGGTCAACACGAAAGGGTCATGGGTGTCCAGCCGGCCTGCTCGTGCAGCTCTGAGGACTGGCTGGCACATTGCCCGCGGTCTCCCACCTCCCCGGGTCCTGCTTTCCCAGCGCGGCTCCTCTGGCTCGGCCATCGTGGACGGTGAGCGTCGTTCCAGCCAGAACCACTTCAGCCTAAGTCTGTGCCAGACGCCCAGAGATGCTGCTGGGTGCTGTCCTTCGCCTTGAAGGGTGACCCCGAGCAGGACTGACAGGCCTGGGCCCGCCCAGTGCACAGGTGTCTAGGCCCGGCCTTCTAACGTGTGCACAGAACCAAAGCCGCCACTGTGTGCTGACGGCTGGTCCGTCTTGGACCTCTCGGGTCCCTCAGCTCGGGGCGGGGCACACTGCAGAGCAGAGCACTGCTCTTGGGGGGCACTGAGGCCTGAGACACGAGTGGGTCAGGGGGACCTGGCACAGTTCTGCACCTGGCCACGCCTCCTGGCTGACGGCTGCAGAGGCTGTGCAGGCCGCTCCTGTGGCCAGAGTGGCAGGTGCTGCGTGTCACTGAGTAGGCTCTTAAGGAAGAACACAGGGAAGGGATGCAGTCTGCTGTCGTGGGTGGCTGTCCTGTCCTCCAGCACGTCCTGGGCGCGTGCCGCCCTCACGGGACTGCCCTGTCCCCCGGCACGCCCTGGGCGCGTGCCGCCCTCACGGGACTGCCCTGTCCCCCACCACGCCCTGGGCGCGTGCCGCCCTCACGGGACTGCCCTGTCCCCCACCACGCCCTGGGCGCGTGCCGCCCTCACGGGACTGCCCTGTCCCCCACCACGCCCTGGGCGCGTGCCGCCCTCACGGGACTGCCCTGTCCCCCACCACGCCCTGGGCGCGTGCCGCCCTCACGGGACTGCCCTGTCCCCCACCACGCCCTGGGCGCGTGCCGCCCTCACGGGACTGTCCTGTCCCCCACCACGCCCTGGGCGCGTGCCGCCCTCATGGGACTTAGCTCTGTGCAGGCAGCCCCTGGGCCTGGCAGGAGCTCCCTCCTGGCATCCCTCTCCCCGGTGTCCGTGTCCTCGCCCTGGAGGGTCCTGTGCGGAGCTCGTCTGTGGAAGCTGCGCTGATGCACTGTCTGTCTGACTCCCTCCCCCAGACCAGGGCAGGGTGGACAGATGAGGGGCGGGTGGTGGGTGATGAGAGCCAGCAGAGGGCAGTCAGGTGGCCGAGCAGCTGAGTCCGATGACAGTGGGTGTGGCCTGAGGCAGGCGAGCCCTCGGGCTGGAGGAAGGAAGGCCAGGGACCACCATGAGGCCGCCCGGAAAGTGGGTTCCGGTGTGTTTTAGGGAAAAATTCCAATCTTTGAATTAATTTTTTAAAAAAGGTTAGTTTCACTTGGCTTTTGAAGTAATCAGAGCAAAATTATTAAGACTCGGTGGGACAGTGAGTGATGAGCTTGTGTGTGACCCCAAGAGGCAGCGGACGCCAAGCAACAGAGCTTGTTTTATTTTATTTTATTTTATTTTTTTTATCCTCACCCGAGGACATTTTTCCATTTTTTGCACAGAGTGGAAGGGAGAGAGAGAGGGAAACATCGATGTGAAGGGACACATCGAGTGGCTGCCACCCACACGACCAACCAGGGCCGGGGACAAACTGCAACCGAGGTACGTGCCCTTAGCGGGAACCGAACCGGGTCTCTCCGGACCGCAGGCCGATGCTCTAACCGCTGAGCCAAACCGGCCAGGGCAACAGAGCTTATTTTAAAGGTGGCTTTTCAGAAGTCTGGCCTCCCCCGGGTGACGGCGGCAGCACTGGGAGGCGGGCTGTCCTGGGAGACGCTGCCCGGGTCTCGCCCAGGGCAGCTGTTCTCACTTCCCACTCCCCGCGGCGGAGTGGCAGCTCTGGTGGCAGTGAGCGGCTGCCCGGTCCTGCCGGGAGAGCGGCCTGCTGGAGACAGCTCCGCGGTGGGTTCGAGCGATGGTGCCAGGCGCCTGAGACTTGTTTTCTTCTCTCCCTCGTTCCAGGACGTCGTCTGGGGGCTAAACTCTTTGTTCACTGTAAGTATGTCCCCCGGGGTCCCAAGTTTCTCTCTACCCTGACCGCCCGTCTTAGGTGTCCCACGGGGTAGCCCAGGGGGTCAGAGACAGCAGCATGTCCACACCGACCCCTCCTGTCGCTCCTTTGAGAGGCGGAGGAAAGGTGAGCTCTCGCAGTGACCTGTGGGAGGTCACGGGGCAGTCGGGATGGGAGCAGGGTGTCCCTACTCCCCGGGACAGCCAGGTCTGTGGCTTCAGTCTCCTCACGTGGGCGAGTCCTCGACAGCCCCTGGCAGCCCTGCTCCGTCTGCTCACAGCACCCGTCTGCGGCCCTCTTCACCCCAGAGGCCTGGTTTGGGCGAAGGAGGACATGCTCACCCACCTGAGGCTTTGCACAACCAGAACCTTCGCCTTCTCCTGTCGGTGACCAGCGGCCCAAGTGCACGGCCCTCCGAGAACAGCTGTCACAGCAGGGTGGAGGGCAGGAAGGGCACGGGGAGAAGCAAAGGCAGCAAAACTGAAGGCTGGGTCCACTCTTTATATAATACTATGTGTTTCCTGGAGGTTTTGGTCACGAAAGAACTTTAAAAGAAATCAACTACTTTGGAGGAGAAAAACTGCTGCTGTTGGTAAAACATAAACCCTAAGATCCCTCCGTGAAGGTGAGCCCGTCGTGCTAGCCTGCGGGACGGGGCTTCGGAGGGGCAGCTCCCCGGCCCACAGCGAGGGCGATGCACAGCCAGTTAGCCACCTGGCGGGGCTGCTGTCCTCGTCCTGGCGTCAGCGGCCAGGGGCTGCTCGTATCTCCAGCAGAGCCTCGGCATTAGCCCCAGTCCCCCTCCCCTTTGCCTCCTGGTCTGATGTCACCAGGCAGTGCCTGGAGCGCACGTGACAACCCATGCTGACTCCAGCACCTCCCTTGGCATCCATGGGAAGGAAGCACCAAGGGGACCGAGCCACCTGGCGACCTTCTGCTGGTCCCGCCGTCTCTGACTGTTTGGCCCTTTGAGTTCAGTGCAGGCAGAATCGCATCTGCAGCTGCAGGACCTGCGCAGTCCAGGCTGCCTGGTGGCCATGCCCCTTCATGAGGACCAGCTTGTCACTGTCAGCCGCCACCACAGCGGGACCGTCCCCAATCCCATCCTGCTTCCCTCAGAGCCCTCGCCCTGAGCCTGAGGTGGGGTGGCCGACAGCTCGCTGCAGGGCAGGACGTGAAGGAAGGAGGCTCTGGCTCCTGGGTTGTTTGGAGAACTCCGGCGCAGTCCTCCACTCCCCGTGCCCCGGACCCCAGTCCTGGACAGCCAGTCCGCTGCCCGGGGAGTCCGTGGCACGTGCCAGCACTGTGTCAGTCGGTGCAGGGTGTGCTCAGGGCGCAGAGCTGGGCCGAGTGCGGCTTTGGAACACAGCTGCGTCTTGTCTGGCGTCCTTCGTATTTTTACCTCTTTCCAGGACTTGGTCTAATTTCCCAACTGTAAATGACCATAGAGATTTATAATTTTTCTTTGCTATATTTTCTTTGTTTGTCATACCCATATTTATGTCCAAATCAGGAGTATAGTCCCCAAATTTAGCATTCATCCTGAGGACATATATGGTGGTATTTACAGTGGCCCGTCTGTGGCTTTTAAAGTAGTGACTCGTTATGAGAACAGACCTCACTGCTGTGGTTAAGAGCAGGAGCCCGCAGTGCAAAGATCAGACGTGTCCCCATCTGAACTCCCTGCTGTGTCTTGGGGGGATGGGGAGTAGCCATCTAAGGTAGAAAGGGTCTGGTTCTCCCCCCGACCCCAGGCCAGGAGACGTGGGCCTGATGGCCCGGCCCTGCGATCTGTGGGTTCCAGACACCGTCCCTGCGGGGCGTGACGCCTGCGAAGGCAGGTGAGAAGGTGGGAAGTGCAGCGACGGCCTGAGCAGGAGCCACAGCCTCACCAAGGCTCCGTCCTTTGTCACAAAGTAAAGGCAGAGGATTAATTTTGCAGGAACAAAGAATAATGGGACTTGAATTGGGAAAGCTCACGAGTGGTTTCCATTCTTCAGCTACAATACATAAGTCAGTGTGCCTGCCGCTCCCTCCGTTCCCACCAAGCTGGACAGTTCTGGGTAAACTCGACCGCGCTCCTCCCGGTCGGTCGTCACCATTTGGAACAAAGGACAAGTTGGGCACTCACAGCAGAAGAGATCGGAGTGGACCCTCGGCTCCCTAGGGCTCCACACTCGGGTTGCCGGCCAGATCTCGTGGCCACGGTGACGGGAAGACACCCAGTGAGAAGCAGGCTCTGCCCTTGTTCACGCATGTTTCTCTCTTTAAGGATCTTCTGAACTTCGACGACCCGCTGAATCTCGAGGCAGCAGAGCACCACCTGCGGGACAAGGTGAGCAGGGCGGGGCCCTGGCGGAGTGTCCGGTGGAGGTGACGCGTCTCTGAGTGAGAGGAGGGGAAGTTGAGTGGTGGGCCCTGGACTGGGATTGGAGCAATTCGTAGTGCTGTGGCCTGGTGGGTGCCAGTGGTTTCCGTAACTTGTTTGACCCAAGGCCAGACACGTGTTCGGTGGAAGTGAGTTCCTAGTGGAATTTAGTACACTGTTCCTTTACCTTACTAGCAGCGTCGGAATAGAAGGGAGGACAGTGAGTAGCGGGACACCTCAGTGCCCTCCAGGCCCCCAGTGGCCTCCGTACCCTTCACACCTTTCCCAGGGCTCTGACCGCGCACAGCCCTTTGGTTGGGCCCAACATCCCGGGGTCGTAGTCACTACTCCAGTCTCCAGGCCTTTTCTTCAACCTGGCGCCGAGTCAGCGCATGAAGTGTCACCCCTTCCAGAACCGTCCTCTTACTGGTGGGCACTTGGGGTTTCCCCACCACAATATTAACGCATAGATGTCCTCTGTACACGGTCTGGGTCTGGGAGCAGGCCGTGGGTGATGGACGAGGCTGGCAGCTTGTTCACCGGGCGTGGGGCCACGCGATGCAGTTGGAGTGCCCAGCACATGTGACAGGCACAGTGGGGAGAGTGGGTCCTGCAGTGCGACTAGAGGGTCATGGGTGCTCCTGGTCTGGCCGAGGGGCCATCTCTCAGGCATGTGACCTGCGGAGCAGGCTGGGGCGGCACAGGTCTTTGGGACGGGCCCCCAAGGTGTGAGACGCCCTGGCTCCGGGCAGCACCTCAGCCTCCGCCCCCCAGGGCCACCCTGGCTGGGAGGCCACCAGGCAAAGCCTCGGCCTGTCCATGCTGACAAGCCACACGCTGCTCCTGAGCCCGAGCCTTCTCAGGAGCTCCGTTCATGGCGGGCTCCACTCACCACTGCCCTGACCAGGACCTCACTCAGCGTGTGAGTGTTCCTGTCCCTGGGGACCAGCCTCCTCCCGGAAGGAGTGATGACAGCAGGGAGCCCTCGTGCAGAGCTGGGAGGACGCTTGCCTCCTGCTCTTCATGAAATAAGAACTTATCCCCAGTAAGATGGTCCAAAAGTCAGCCCAGTAGTGATGCTTCCATACGAGTTCTTTTTTTTTTTATCCTCATCCGAGGACATTTTTCCATTTTTTGTACAGACAGAGTGGGAGAGAGAGAGAAACATCGATATGAAAGGGACACATCGAGTGGCTGCCACCCGCACGACCAACCAGGGCCGGGGACAAACTGCAACCGAGGTACGTGCCCTTAGCGGGAACCGAACCCGGGTCTCTCCGGACCGCAGGCCGACGCTCTAACCGCTGAGCCAAACCGGCCAGGGCTCCATACAAGTTCTTGACACGCCAGACCCACCCGTGTCCTCATGTCATCGCAGTCATGGTGTCAGAACTCCGTCACTTTGTCTTGTAACCATCATCCACCCCTAGTTTGACTGGTGGCACTTCAGTTCCAGATGAGGTGCTCAGTGCTCTGGAGAGGTCACTGGACAGACAGCCCCTGTGCCTGGGAGTGGACATGCTCGTGGGAGAGGAGAGCGGAGATGCGCAAACAGCATGGGAGGCGGGGCTGGGCCCGGAGTGCCGAGGGGGTGATGGGTGTTGCTCCATTATGTAGGGTGCTCAGGAGCCCTTTATGATAAGAGGTGACTAGAGATCTGAGTGAACCAAGTGGATCTCAGGGAAGAGCATTCCAGAGATTGACACGGCCAGTGCAAAGGCCCTGAGGTGCGAAAGTGCTCAGGGTGTTCAGGAAAGAGCACCGAAGCCATGTGACTAGAGTAGGAGGGCAGTGGTGACGTGACAGCAACCCTGAGTGGCCCTCCCAGGTGCCCGGCACTGTCCCATGCTCTTTCCAGAGCACGTGTGTTCTGCTGGCAGCTTCAGGAGGGCGAGCCTCTTGTTAGCCCTCATCTCTGCTAAGACGCTCACCAGGAAGGGGCCAAGCTCAGGATTTGAACCCGGGTGGCCTGGCTGCATGTCCCATGTCTTCACATGGGCACAGAGGGGGAGGAGGGAGGCAGCCGGCGCCTGAGCACACAGGGCCTTCTGCAGCCGGGACCCGCTTCGACCCGGGTGAGATGAGCGCAAAGGGGATTGAGACAGAGCAGATGCACCTTTGGTCCTGAGGCAGGAAGCGGGTGGGGGCGGCCTGGGGCCTGCCCTTGCGTCCGCTGAGCTTTGGCTGTGGCTCCTTAGGAGCCGGAGGTATTGTCGGCTTCCGGGCTGTGGAAGTGACCTGGCGAGTTGGCGGGGGCTGGTCAGGGCTTCCGCACTGCCCGTCTTTGTGGGCGGGGCTGTGGGAGCCTCTGAATGCAGCCCCGTGGACCAGTGCTGACCTTGGCCATTTGTGGCCTCACTCCCCCATCTGCAGAACAAGGGTCTTGGGATCCCTTGTTTGTGCGCCCCCCCACACACACACACAGTAGGCACCCAGAGGGATGCCACCTCTGCGGGTTTCTGGCTGCCCCTTCCCCTGGGCTGCTGGAGGCTGGTGGCCGAGCGCTCAGGGAGTCCTTGGCTCGGGTGGCTGCGACTTGTCCTGAGCCGCCACTCGCCCTCACTAACTGGCTCTTCTCCGACCCGTGCCCAGGAGGACTTCCGAAGCAAAGTGGAAGACTACATCAAGCGGTATGCCAGATGATAGGAGGGGAGGCTCCGGCGCGGGGCCCACGCAGTCCTCGCGCCCCCACCCCCGGCTCTGCTGGCCCTGTGACGCGTCCTCGGAGGAGCCTCTGCGCCTGCCCATTGTAGACGGGAGTCCCACATAAATACAGCGAGAAATGTGTTTGGGCCTAAAGAGTTGTCTGCTTACCTTAACATGTTTACTTTGTGAACCTGTACTGTATAGGCTGCGGAGATGCTTGAGAGGTGGTCATGAACTCCGAACCGAGCTTGCTTCTTCCCCTCCCCCAACTCACTTCCCTGCACCGCAAAGCCCGTGTCTCGGGGGGCTGGCAGTGGGCGCCCAGGGCCTGCTACAACCTGATTGGATGCGCTGTCTCTTAGCTCCTCCCTCGAACCGCGGCCCGCCTGTCCCGAGGCTTCCCAGAATGCAGTCATTCACTGTAGATCTCTTACTGAAATGCGTATTTTATTTAATGTAAGTATATTTTGGAACAGATTTGTAATTTGTACAATTTAATGCTTTAATTATTTTTTTCTATTCTTCTTTAGTTTGTATTTTCATTGTATAGAGCAGACAGAAAGATGTTGGGTCAAGCAATTATTGAAGAGAAATACAAAGAAAATATGAAAGACACACTAATCCTTCTGTCCCAATGCAATGAGAATTTGGCTTTTAAAATCCAGCTCTTGCTTCAGGTCTGGTTGGGGCAAAGAAGTTTGAGGACCTTTCAGGCTAGATTCGGGTGGTTTGAAGGAACAGAAGGCAGAGCCCTTGGCCATGCTTGGCCCGGAGGAGCTGGCTGGGGCCCGGGGGGTGGGGCGGTGTTTCTGTGCGGGTCCTGTGCTGGGGCTCAGTGTGCAAGGGCTGTGGCTGTTCATCAGGGACCCAGACCCTGGAGCCCGAGGGACAGGAGACCCGCGGGGCCAAACAGTGCCTGATGCCCGCGAGACTGCGCCTGTGGCCTCCGAATCTGCTGTGGTTCCCGCCCGCGTGGGGGTGGCGTCCTGTCCGAGGGGGCAGGAGTCGGAGCAGCTTAGGGCTGTGCTCCCTCGGGACTGCACACAGGAGACCCCTGGACCCGGGACGTCAAATACAAATAAATGTCTGTCTGTTTCCTCCGCTGCCTGCCTGACACTCCGGTTTGATTGACAGCTCCCTTACCTCTGGCTTTCCCCCATCGACCACCTCTCCAACCTGGTGTGCACTTCTTTTTCTTTTTTTAATACAGTGTTTTTCTTTATTGATTTTAAAGAAAGAAGAAGGGAGAAGAAAAGAGACAGAAAATTGATGAGAGAGAACATCAATTGGCTGCTTCCCGCATGCCCCCCACTGGGGATTTTGCCCACAACCTGGGCATGTGCCCTGACCAGGAATCAAACTGCTGACCTCTTGGCGCATGGGTCAACACTCAGCCAGTGAGCCACATCGGCCAAGTGCGGTGCGCATTTCTTTTTTTTTTTTTTTTTTTTTTTATCCTCACCCGAGGACATTTTTCCATTTTTTGTACAGACAGAGTGGGAGGGAGAGAGAGGAAGAGAGAGAGAGAGAAACATCGATGTGAAAGGGACACATCGAGTGGCTGCCACCCGCACGACCAACCAGGGCCGGGGACAAACTGCAACCAAGGTACATGCCCTTAGCGGGAATCGAACCCGGGTCTCTCCGGACCGCAGGCGGGCGCTCTAACCGCTGAGCCAAACCGGCCAGGGCCGCATTTCTTAATTTACATTATAATCTCTGATTAGGAGACCAATGTCCTGGAGGTCATCATGGGAGGAACATAGGCCATGCTGATTGTTGTGATCAGGAATTGTGCGCATTAGACTTGAGGGTGGCCTCTGCTTGTGGGCTACCTCTGGTCCACAGAGCGGGAAGGGAAAGGCTGGATAAAGGGCATGGTGGCCTCTGAGCCCCACAGGCCTGTCAGGGAGGCGCAGCACTGCCGGCACAGCACTGCCACCTGCAGGCCAGCACAGGCCCCACAGCCCGCACGCCACTGCCACCTGCGGGCCAGCACAGGCCCCACAGCCCGCACGCCACTGCCACCTGCGGACTTGCAGAGGCCCCAGAGCCCGCAGAGCACTCCCACCTGCAAACCAGCTGATCCCCCACAGCCCACACATCACTCCCACCCACGGGCCAGCAGAGGCCCCACAGCCCGCACGCCACTGCCACCTTCAGGTCAGCAGATGCCCCACAGCCGACACAGCACTCCCACCTGCAGGCCAGCAGAGGCCCCACAGCCAGCAGAGCACTCCTACCCTCAGGCCAGCAGAGGCCCCAGGCTCACACACCACTGCCACCTGCAGGCCAGCAGAGGCCCCACAGCCAGCACAGCACTCCCACCTGCAGGCCAGCAGAGGCCCCACAGCCGGCACAGCACTCCTACCCTCAGGCCAGCAGAGGCCCCAGGCTCACACACCACTGCCACCTGCAGGCCAGCAGAGGCCCCACAGCCGGCAGAGCACTCCTACCCTCAGGCCAGCAGAGGCCCCAGGCTCACACACCACTGCCACCTGCAGGCCAGCAGAGGCCCCACAGCCCGCACACCTCTGCCACCTGCAGGCCAGCAGAGGTCCCAGGTTCGCACACCACTGCCACCTGCAGGCCAGCAGAGGCCCCAGAGCCCGCACAGCACTGCCACCTGCAGGCCAGCAGAGGCCCCACAGCCGGCACACCACTGCCACCTGCAGGCCAGCAGAGGCCCCAGGCTCGCACACCACTGCCACCTGCAGGCCAGCAAGAGGCCCCAGGCTCGCACACCACTGCCACCTGCAGGCCAGCAGAGGCCCCAGGCTCGCACAGGTGTCAGTGGAGCCTTTCATTGTCACAGGAACTCGCCAGCCAGACCCTGGGCCATCCTGTGTCAGCTGGGTCAGGAGGCCAGCAGCAGGCCTGCCCACATGCCTGATCTTTGCCCTGTGACCCAGTGCACGAGTTCCCTGCCTGAGTCCTGGTGCACCTCACAGGGCCTGTTAGGGTGGTTGCAGGTGGAAGGAAGGTTGCCAGCCCTGTGGGTAAATGGAAGACTGCCCTCTGGACCAGACGGAAAGGGGTAATACCTGTTGAGTCCAACCTCAAAATATTTGACAATAGAAAAACACTTTATGAACGATCAAGTTATTCAAAAATGACATTTACACAGAACTGGACCATCCCCTTCTGTCCAGGTACAGCGCATCTTGTTACACAGCACGCCCAGCGCAGCCCACTGCCACGAGCATCTTATCTGCTGCGGCCCGTGGCACCTGGCAGTGGCTGTGGGACCCTGACTTCAGGCCCTGTGGCTTCTTGGGGTTTCCTCCCCACTTCCAGGACAAAGTGTCAGTGTGGTTTCTGTCCGTGTGCCCCACCAACCTGGTGGTAGTTGATTTCGGATCTGCAAGGGTAGCCGGCCCTGGGCCAAGTCCCTGGAAAGCCAATTAAAATTAAAGTTTACGACAAAGCATTCCCCAAATCAAATCCTGGCTCTACTGCTACCCTCGTGAACTTGAGCAAGATGCTTTTCTCTGCCTTCATTTCCTATACATAAAATGGGGATAACTACCTCCTTGATAAGGGTGTCATCCAGATTAGTTCGAATACATGAAAAGCGCTTGGACCACTGCCTGGCACACGCGGGCCCCAGTTCAACCGGGAGAGATTATGCAAGCGGTGGCCAGTGCATGGCTTCCTTGGACTTCGACTGTGGACCCTTGGCTCGCCCTCTCTTACCACTTTCACAACTGACTGGTTATGGTTGGCTGGATGCACGAACGTTGGACATTTCCACTTGGTCTCACTGGGAACACATCCAAACGGCCCAAGCGCTTCCCCGTCTGTCTGCCTTCCTGTCCAGATGAAGGCCTCGCTTCCGAGTCGCTTCGTTACCCCTGGCTCCTCACGCCCTCCTGCCCCCACTCAGCTCTCCCCTGCTCCTGTCACACATCCTGGCACCCCTTGAACCCACTTCCTTGGCTTCCACGCCCACTGCGCAGTGCCCCTGGGGTCACCCTGACCAACTGGCCTGCAGCCTCCACCCCAGATCCCTGAACCCATCCTCGCTGAACGAGCGCCAGTTCCACTCGAAGTGCCCTATGCAGAGGCCCCCCAGCTGGGGCCGTGGGTGCATGTTTCAGGAGACCTCCGACACCGACGTGGAAGCGTATCCCGCGGGCCTCCGGGCGCCGGGTCCAGCGGGGCGGACGCAGGCGCACCCCGCGTGCCGCGTCCGCCGGCTTCGCCCCGGCCTCTCCGCCCCGGGTCTCAGACGCCGGCGGACCGGCGCAGGGCCCTGGAAGGTGACGAACCGGAGAGACGCCCCCTGAGACTGCGACTCGCTGGGGTTCGCGCCAGCAATTTGCGGCTGTGGCCACGCCCTCTGTGCCAGGCACGGGCCCCGCCCCGAACCGTCACCTGACCGCGCGCAGCCAATCAGCATCCCATCCTGTGCCAGTCCGGGAGGCTGGCCCGCTGCAGCGCGGGGATTGGCCCGGGGTGCGCACCTCAGCCAATCCGAACGCGCCTGGGCCTTGCGACCCCGCCTCCCCTCGCGAAGCCGGGGGTGGCGCTAACGGGCTGGGGGGTGAGCAGGGCACTTTCAGCCGCGAGCGGGGTCCCGGCGGCGGCGGCGGCGGGACCGGGACCGGGACCGGGACCGGGACCGGGACCGGGACCGGGATGGAGGCGGCCGCGGCACCCAGGAGGCACGCGCGGGGGCACGTGGCGAGGCCGCCCGGCGGCGGCGAGGAGAAGAGCCCGCCAGAGAGGTGCGCGCGGACGGGAAGGCCCGGGAGGCCGCGGGTCTCCTCCTCCGGGGAGCCCTCCAGGCGCGCGGGTGAGGGCTCGGCGTGCCCCGCCGGGCGGTCGGAGGGGAGGAGCTGGTCGGTCGTGGAGGAGCCCCACGCGGGGCGCAGCGCTGGCCGGGGGCCGCGGGGGAGGCCTCGAGCGGGGGTGCGAGCTGGGAGGCCGAGCGGTGCGAGGAGCGGCCGGGGGGCCCGCAGGCGGCCACCGCGCGGAAGCCCGAGCGACGCCCAGGGCCCGCCGCACGCGCCCGGGCACGCGGTGCACGAAGGCGGGAGCCTGCCGCCCGCGGGCCGGCGGGGCGTGGGGCGCGTGCGGCCGAGAGCAGGGCCGTCGGAGCCGCTGTCGCGGGAGGCGTGGCAGGGCCGGGAGGCACCCGGGGTGTAGTCCGAGGGTGAAGGGGGACCTTGGAGACTCGAGCAGGGGAGCGATGCAATTTAGTTCTATTGTCAGGGATCCTGGATGCTTTCTGGAGGGGCGGGGCGGGGCGGGGCGGGCCGGGGCGGGCCGGGGCGGGCCGGGGAGGAAGCCAGGAACGCGGCTGGGTCTTCACCGCGGCCTGGGAGGGAGAGGTGGGCAGCAGGGGTGAGGCCGCTGGGGCCTGCGCTGCGAGGAGAGGGATGGACCGGCACTTCCCGTCCCCAGGCTCTTCAGCCTTCTGAAACCGCTTCCCCTGGCCGGCGAGCGGGACGCGTTCTTGTTTTCTCTGCCCTCGATTCAGGAACGTGCTGTGTTCCTGTTTGTTTTTGGTCATCCTCTCTACCCAGCTCTTTCATGGGCAGCCTACTCTGGTTGGAGAGAAATGGGAGCGGGGAAGGCGGCCCCTAGGGAGGCCTAGTGGAGAGGAGATTGGGGATGTCTTTTCACCTTTCGGTTATAAAACTAATGGAGTTCAGCTTGTCCACAATATTGATGGCACGTTAAGGAAATAGCAGGTAGTGGAGCAGAGTAACCTACCAGGTGTACCTCGGAAATGAAGCCATCAGCCAGCCGAGCAGCAGGTGGGACAGCCAGTCACTTAGCAGACACCAGTGGCTTGAGGAACTCTGGGACACGTACTTATGGGCAGTGAGAGCAGAGTTGGGGCGCCTGCAGCCTGCAGTCACAGCCGGACCAGGAGTGCCCCGATACTGGAGTGGCCAAGGATGGCTGGCCAGACTGCCCAAAGCCATGTACCACCAGGTGACACTGAACAGCTTATAGACGAGATGCTGCATTAAAACATTCATGGTGCAAAACAGACCCACGGTTTCGAAGGAGAGTTGCAAATGTACCATCTTGAGGACCCATTGTTTGGGCCTGACTTGTTTGTTTGTTTGTTTTTAATTCTCACCAGAGGATATTTTTTCATTTATCTTCAGATAGAGTGGGAGGGATGAAGGGAGGGAGGGAGGGAGGAGAGAGAGAGAGAGAGAGAGAGAGAGAGAGAGAGAGAGAACCACCCACGTGAGAGAGACACATCGATTGGCTGCCTCCCACACTACCCTGACCAGGGCCGTCCAAGACTGAACTGGACTTGTCTTGGTGGGAAAAGATATGGCCCTACCCTGCTACAGCCCAGGCCGTGGTCAGCACTTGGGTCCCCAGACCAGTTCCCATCCGTGCTTGCACATACCACCCGAGTGTTCCCGTCTCTCATGATGCCTTACGGGCTTGGTCTTGCTTTAAGAGAAGAACTGATTTTTCTGCCTTTTTAAGCATTGTAGGTTATACAAAAGGTAGACATAAAAGTGAAAAGCCACCTGAGCCAAACTTGAAGTCAAGACTACTGAAAAGAAAGAACTATCTGAATCGAAACCCAAATTTCAGGAGCACGTCATTCGAGCCCCTAAATCAGTAGAAGCAATAGAGAGGCCCAGCCCAGTGACAACTCTGGAATTAAAAGTGTCTGCCTCCCTAAAACAAGCCCTTGATAAATGTAAACTCTCGTCAGGGAATGAAAAAAATAAGAAAGAAGACAGTGATACAATTAAGATTGGGATGTGGTGTGAAAATGGAGGGTGTTCAAAGACATGTCAGGGTCTGCAGAGTTTAGACGTCTGGGTATGTTGTTCCGGAGTACCTATTTCCCCACAAAGGGATGAAATACTGGAGCTGTTGTGGAATAAAAACTTCTGATTTCAATCCATTCTTGGCCCGCAAGGGTTGTACAAGAGGGAGACGCATGTAGACAGCAAAGGGTGCTGGGAAAAAGTTGCTCGGTGTAGACATGACTAACATCCAACTGGGGGCAAAGTCACCATTTCAGTAGATGCTGAAAATTCACTTCCAGAACTGAGTCAAGTAGTAGCACAGACCCCATGTTAAATGTGCACGTGGTACTTGAAGGTGAGAAGGAGTCTCATCAAAATGAAACGACAGGGTGTGGTTGATAGAGAGCAAAGTTAGGTAGCTGTGACGGCAGCAGAGACGGGGTCCCCGTGACAGAAGCCGAGCCTGTGCGGTGGGCAAGCCTGGACCTGCCCAGCCAACAACCAGGGAGAACAAAAGGGACCGAGAACACACCGGGAGGGACTCACGCTTCCCACGTGCGAAGTGCAGGCTGTTGCTGTGGTCTTCTGTTTTGTCTTGTTGTCGCCGAATCTGGCATTTCGGGGTCAACAGTAGGTTCTTCAAAGCCAAAGTCAGTTTATGCCTTTGTGCCTGTCCCTTTCCTTCGGAGCTCCCGAGGATCGAGGATCGTGTGCCCTTCTCCCTCCCCGGCCAAGCTGCGGCGGGTCCCTGCGGCGGTCCCGTACTGAGGAAGCTCAAGAACAGCTCATAAGTAGAAAGCAGCACCTGTCCACCTCTCTTTCTGTTCTTCCTTAGTCAGTAAAGCCAGATGGAATGTCAGATTTTTTATTTGTTTTCCCTTGACTTTGCATTCCTACGATCCTTGAAACCTTTTAAGGAAAAGGTAAAACTGCTCAGTGTTTTTCTACTCGGATGGGAACTTTCTGAAGGGGGTTAATTCGGAGGTAGTGTCATAAGTAGTTACAAAGGAATATATGCATTGGTTAACACATTAGAATTCATTTGCAACTAATTGAAATAAAAAATTATATCAGTACCTATATTACTTGCCAAAGCAGTAATATCTCTTTCCTGATTTTAAGGTCTTGGTATGGTATTACGACTAAATTGTATCTGAATTATAGCCTACACCCTCTTAAAACTTTTAATTATATATAAAGAGAAACTAAATATATATCTGGCTTCCCTGATGGTAAAGTATATCTATAAAATTATAGATTAAAAGGCCTATGGAAGCCCAGTAGAGTTTCAGAAGACTAGATATTTAAGCTTTGCTTTGTGACAACTATCTATTACATGTTACATAAAATAGCTTAGTTGTTTTATAGGGTTTTCATGAACCGTTTGACAATTCTAGGTGGTACGATGTTGATTATATATTGTACTTGATTAAACAGGAATCACAGAATTAGATGGTTTGTGCTAATTGAGCCCATGAAAGGATAGGTTACTTTTTTTTCTCTCTATTGATTTTTAGAGAGAGAGATAGAAATATTGATGAGAGAGAACATCGATTGGCCGCCTCCTGCGTGCCCCCCACTGGGATCGGGCCCACAACCTGGGCATGTGTCCTGACTGGGAATCGAACCAGCGACCTCTTGGTGCAGGGTCAATGCTCAACCACTGAGCCACACCCGCAGGGCAGGATAGGTTACTTTTTTTTCCCCCTCACCCAAGGACATTTTTGCATTTATCTTCATATAGAGCAGGAGGGAGAGAGGGAGGAAGAGAGAGAGAAACATCGATGTGAGAGAGGCACATCGCCTGGTTGCCACCCACATGACCCCAACCAGGACCGGGGATGAACCACAACTGAAGTACGTGCCCTTAGCGGGAACCAAACCCGGGACTCTCTGGTCCGTGGTCCGACGCTCTAACCATTGAGCACACTGGCCAGGCAGGTCATAACAGAGCTCACGAAGAAAATGAAAAATATTACGAAGGCCAAACTCTGGCAGAGTATAATAAGTTTGGGCATGAATTGTGCTTACCTAGATTAAAATGATTATTTCCTGAAAACAAAAACACTGACAGCCATGGTCGGTAGTCGTGTTTGGATTTTGTGTGGCTCACTTGAAGCACTGTTGTTGATTTTGGTAAACAGTTCCGAACATAGGTAGCATTCGCTGCTATATGTAGTTGTGACAGCTTCTGAAGGGTTTTGGTATTGGTAAAATGATACATTTTACTTCTGAGGGTCTTCTGGAGATGTGCGTCTTCTGTGACGCTGACTGTCGTCTCGGCGCCCAGTGCTGTGCGGGCCCTTGTTCTCTGTGCTGGCCTCAGAGCAGAGCCCGTGGCGCTGACTGTGAGTCTCTCGTTGATGCAGCCGGTAAACAAGGGCCGGATCTGGTGTCAGTGACGGGCAGAGCCGGGAGCAGCCGAGGGAAGGGCACACGGAGTGCCAGGGAGGAGGGGGTGGCTGGACGGAGCCTCACCGGAGGGGCCGGGCATGGTCATTCTAGGTAGAGAAACCCGAAAGTTCAAGGGGAGGAGCAGCAGGCCTGCCCCAGGGAGGCCCGCCCGGTGGGGGAAGGACAGAGGGAGGGAGCGAGGGAGGGCTGGGTGCCAGGCTCAGCGCCAGCCTCACAGCTGCACAGGAACTGGTGAAGTTAGGAAGACAGGCCAGGGAGAAGAGCCCTCGGGATGAGGGGCTCCCTGGGCTGCCGCGGGCCTGCCCTTCCCAGCAGTCGGGTGGGCCGTCCAGGCCCTCGGGGCCACCAGTCCTCCCAAGGGGCGGGAAGTGTCCACAGGAGCATGCTGACCGCCCGCGGAGTCGTTTCTCCTGTTGACCTGATGGACCTCATGCAGCCGTGCTCCCCGGCCCGTCTCCTTCCTCCTGCAGGACAGTGTACATGGACTACAACGCAACCACCCCCCTGGAGCCGGAGGTCATCCAGGCCATGACGGCGGCCATGCGGGAAGCCTGGGGAAACCCCAGCAGTCCCTACCCGGCAGGTAATTCTAGAAGGTGCACACCGGTGGGAGGCAAGGGCGGAGCTCGGACACTACACCGCGTGGTACCCGCGGTTGTGACTAGATTTCCTGTTAACTCCGGTCTAGCTGCAGTTCTTGGTAGTTTTTCCAAGAAGTCCAACTTGGTATGCCGAGCCTTGTTGGTCCACAGTCCTTAATCCTTAACATACGCCCCGCCTCCCTTTCTCAGCTGGCAAGATGCCTTACCAAGTATTCGTAATAACTAGCCCTGTTAAAACCCTTTCACGTGTCTGTCTCAGTTGATCTTTTAAATCATTGGGATTCAATATAATTCCTGATCTTTTTTAAAAATGCAGATTACTTTTTTTTTTTATGCTCACCTGAGGACATTTTTTGCATTTATCTTCAAATAGAACGGGAAGGAGAGAGGGAGGAAGAGAGAGAGAAACATCAATGTGAGAGAGACACATCGACTGGTTGCCACCCACGCGACCCCAGCTGAGGCCAGGGACAGACTGCAACCGAGAACCGAACCTGGGAGTCTTGATCCGCAGACCGACGCTCTAACCGCTGAGCCAAACCAGCCAGGGTGCAAATTACTTTTAACGTCTTTAATTATAGCCTGGCCATTGTGGCTCAGTGGATAGAGCGTCGTCCCATTGACCGAGAGGTCCTGGTTCGATTCTCTTCAGGGCACAGGCCCAGTTTGCTGCTCGATCCCCAGTGGGGGGGTGCAGGAGACGGCCGATCGATGTTTCTTTCTTGCAAGATGTTTCTATCTCTCTCAAAAAATCAATAAAACGTATTGAAAAAATATTTAATTATAAATATTATTTCTCATTTATTCTTGTTTTAGTGTAGAGCAGTGATTTCCAACCTTTTTCATCTCATGGCACACATGAACTGATCACTAAAATTCTTTGGCACACCAAAACATATTTTTTGTTGATCTGACAAAAAAAATAATAGGTATAATCTTGATTGATTTCCTACTACTACTAATAATAATAGTAATCACCTACACTTTTTGCTCCAAGTGACTTTTTAAAATATCAGGTGCCTGTACTCGTAGATGAGGGTTTCTGGTACCGAGAACTGACCAATCAGACGCAACCGCATCGTGGCCGTGACCGTGAGACACGGCTGCCACGTGACCTGTGTGTCTGTGGTTCGAGGCGCCCCCTGGTGTGGTGGCTGCGGCCATGTTTTCTCAGACAGTCTAAGGGGAGGCGGCAGTGCCCTGACAAGGCAGGTGCTGCACGTTTTTATTGTTGTTGTTTTTAATCCTCTCCCAAGGATATTTTTCCATTTATCTTCAGACAGAGTGGGAGGGGGAGAGGGAGAGAAACATCGACCAGAAAGAGACACATCGATTGGTTGCCTCCCGCGTGACCCCAGGGACCGAACCGCAGCCGAGGTACATGCCTTTGGCTGGAATTGACCCCTGACTCTGGTCCGCAGGCCGACACTCTTCCGCTGAACCAAACTGGCCAGGGCCAGGGCTTTTTTTTTTATCCTCATCCGAGGTCATTTTTCCATTTTTTGTTGAGATAGAGTGGGAGGGAGAGAGAGAGAGAAACATCGACGTGAAAGGGACACATCAAGTGGTTGCCACCCACACAACCCAACCAGGGCCGGAGTCAAACTGCAACCGAGGTACATGCCCTTAGCAGGAAACGAACTCGGGTTTCTCTGGACCACAGGCCGACGCTCCAACCGCTGAGCCAATCCGGCCAGGGCCAGGGCATTCTTTAAACATGTTGATTGCACTTGGTGAAGGAACATTAATGAATTTCCATGTTGGTCCCTCAAGGTAGGAAAGCCAAGGATGTTATCGACGCCGCTCGGGAGAGCCTCGCACGGATGATAGGTGGGAAGGCTCGCGACATCGTGTTCACGTCCGGGGGCACCGAGGTGAGTGTCTCAAGTGTCTCCTGTCAGGTGCAGAAGAAGCAGAAGCTGGCTTCTTGGGTTTTGTGTTTTTGTTGTTGTTGTTTTTTAAGAAAGAGTAATGCTGATCTTGCTGTTTATCAGTTGGCTTGCATTTATCCCATCAGCGAACCCCAGGCCTGATGGGATGTTTGGGACGTAACTGTGAGTTAACTTGCTTTGCGCCGTTTCAGTGAAGTCGCTTCCCTTCTCTGTGCCGGGCCACCCATTCTGCTCTCCTTACACTGACGGGAGGTGTGCAGACCGCGGGGGCGCCAGGCCGCAGCTCAGTGGGTGGCACTCAGCGTCTCCGGAGAGGAGGGCACGGTGGCCTTCGGCAGGTGACACAGAACACCTGGAGCAACCCGCAGCTGCATCGTTTGAGTTTATGAGAAAATTTCGCCAAGTGATTACATAGCAAAATCAATTGTATTTTTTGGTACCAGCAACAAAACAGGTGTTTACCAGAGCACCAAATGATGTCAAACATTTAGGAAATAAGTCTAGTAAAAAAAAGTCTGTAAGACCCCCGCCCCGCCCCCACCAGGAAAGGAATCGAGCATCGCTGAGAGCCGGCAGACACATCTGAGTAAATGGAGCCGAGGACCGTGTCCGCAGCCGGGAACTCGGCATCGTGGAGACGTCAGCCCCTCCGAGGCCGCTCTGTGGTTTCAGTGCAGCCTCGGTCCGAATCCCGGCACGTCTTTGGTGGAATCTCAAAACTCCTTCATGCGGCAGCACAAAAGCCGGAGGAGCAGACTTCTGAGGCCAAGCACCCAGGGATGGCATGCTCTGCGGACAGCTAGCCCGGGGACCGTCCGCAAAGGCACAGGGTCTTCGCTGAGGGCGAGGACATGCACGGTGTTTGTCATGTGACTGCGGCGGCCGCCTGCCCTGGTCTGCTCGGAGCAGGCCCGGGACACGCCTCTGTCCCGGCATAACTGACCCGGCCCTCTCATCCGGGAACGTTTCTGGCCTGCAGGATAGATTGGGGCGAGCGCAGCAGGGAGAGGGTGGCCTCGTGGGTGGGTGGTGCTGGGACATGTGTCCACAGACGAGGAGGACCTTGCGCTGCTGCTCCGCCGCATGCGGGACGAAACAAAGCAGCCCCGGGTGCGACGAAGCCTAATGGTGAAGGTGAGCCGTGCAGAGCTTCCAGGTGACGCGCTGACACCTCGTGCTGCTCCGGGCGATGCTTTGGAGACATAGGGAGCATGAGCCACAATGGGAGAGAGGGATGAATTCCACCACCAGCACAGCGAGGCAGCCTTCAGTTCACCAAAGAACACCGAGGGGAATAAAACGACGGCTGGACAGTGGGAGAAGGTGTCTGCAACCCAAGTGACAAGACGGCGTCCAGAGTCCACAGGCAGAGACTCCCATGGGAAGACGGCGGGACCTGGAGGTGCACTTCACAGAGGGGAGGCCCGGGTGGCTTCTACCCGAGATCTCGACCTCCTAAGGGACCACAGAAGCACCCCGCACACCTGTCGGTGGGGAGTCCCAGTAAGGGAGGGCATTGCCAGGGCTGGAGGCCCGTGACACCCAGGCGGGCCTGGCGGGATGCAGACTGGGGACGCATTGGAAGAGGGTGGCCTCATCTGGCCGAGGGGAGGATGCCAGCCTTTTCAGCCGGCAGTCCCACTGGGGACACATGTTCCAGACCCATGAGACATGTGGGCACAGGGCACAGGTAGGACTGTTCACAGCGACATTGCTTGTGGCAGCCAGAAACTGGGAGCAGCCTGATGTCCTCGAGGCCAGAGTGGGCCGGCGCTCACACCTCGCACGCAGCATCCTGCGGCAGCTCGGACGGGGCTCACTGGGGCGGGGAGCTGAGCCCCGCAGAGCAGGGCGAAGGGGCCTGGCTGAGTAAGGACGGGGCAGCTGCCACCGGACCCCGCAGCCCAGGCTGCCTGGCGGGCCACCCTGGCCTCATCTGGAGCCCAGTCAGTGCCCAGGAGCACCGTGGCTTTGGAACATGTGGTGCATTTTTTGTTGTGACTTACGGTTCTGACAGAGGCCACTGAGGTCCCAGTGCCGCCCGGGAGCGCGGCCATTGCGAGGTTTCTCAGGACGGTGACCAGTGTGAGGTCCTGTGCCCCCACCAGCAGCTACCTGCCGTGGAGGTGGCACGCGAGAGGGACCTGGGCATCTCTGTCTTGACACAGTTGGTGGGGTCATTTTTACACCGCCATCCATGGTGACCTGAGGGGTGCAGGCCCTGACCCCTGAGATGGGATTGCAGGACCACTCCAGCCACGTGAGCGAGGCCCCCTGCGCAGAATCGCCGTGCGGGCACTTTGCTTTCTGTGAGGCTGTGACCTGAGGCTTCGGAAGTGCCACCTTCTGGAGACGCGCTGCTGAGTCGTCGTCCTGCCAGCTCATCGTCACCTGATCTGAGGCGCCTCGTGTTCCGACAGGTGTCCGCTGTTATACTCTGCATGTCACAGTCCCCAAGCGACGTCCAGTGGGCAGAGCCGGTGACACCTCCCGCCTCCCCGCTGCAGACGCCCGAGGGGCTGCATCTCCACAGAAAACGTCAATTCAGTTCAGGTCCAGTCACGTGCAGGTCACAAAGAGAGAAGAAACCCTTGGTTAGGGACACTCACCGGAAGGAAAGCATGAACCTGTCCCTGGAGAAATGGGCAGTGAGCTCAGCGGGCGCTGGTGTGTCCACCCCCAGGTAACAGGTAGCAGGTTCTCACTGTTACACTTTGTCGTTGAAATTATGTTTCTGTTTCACACACTTCTCTGTGTATGTGCTATACTTTAAAATAAAAGAAAAGGTTACTTTTTTAAAAAGGTTTCTCCCTCCGTGTCACTTCTTTCTCCAGGCTCCCAACACTGTTGGCTTCATGCCCTCCAGAGACCGTCTGCGTCCAGACAAGCGTGTAGCTTTCTAGTCTGTTCTCCTGCCTGTACCTCCTCAGGGACTTTGTGCAGGTGTGAGCAATGTGTGTGCATCTTGCCCTTCCACAGTGTGTGGGTACCTTTGATGACGCCGGCTGCCGTGCGCACTTAGCAAGTGCACCGGCCTGTCGGTGACGCCAGCTGCCGTGCGCACTTAGCAAGTGCACCGGCCTGTCGGTGACGCCGGCTGCCGTGCACACTTAGCAAGTGCACCGGCCTGTCGGTGACGCCGGCTGCCGTGCACACTTAGCAAGTGCACCGGCCTGTCGGTGGCGCCGGCTGCCGTGTGCACTTAGCAAGTGCACCGGCCTGTCGGTGTCACCGCAGAGTCCTGCGGGGTTTCACCTCTGCTGTCCCAGGGAGCAGGGCTGCGTAATTTATCCAGCAGGCCCGCCGCTGATACACGGGAAGGGCTTTCCGAGGTTTTACTGTTCAGACAGCGCTGCAGTAAACAGTCTTACGTCCGTCACTCTGTCTGCAGACGTAGCTGTGGGCCCAGTCCAGGAATAGCCTCGCCGGCCGGGGTGCTGACAGGGTGCCAGGACCCTGAAGGCAGGTGCTGCTCACGCTCGCACCGTCACTGGGCCTGGCAAAGGGTCCTTTCTGACAGGTGTGTCAGACGTACACGTGCATGCAGTGCTTCTGCGCACGTGATCATGCAAAGCAGGCAGAGTTGACCGGAAATGAGGTCTGAGGGTTTTAAAAGTTTGCAATGCCTAAATCTTTGTAGTTAGGCCTTCCCAAGGGTGCACTCGGGAACTGACGGGTGTTTGTTTGTTTGTTCGTTTGTTTTAACATGAGCACAAGGCAAATCCCACTGAACGAGACGACAGCTCTCACTGTCCCCTCAGGACAGCTTTCGGAAATGATGTTTTGTGTTATCCCTGCAGTCAAACAACTTGGTAATCCATTCTGTGGTGACACACTTCCACAAGATCCACACCTCAAAGGGGGACACAGCCGGGTGTCACAGCCCGGCAGAGGGGGCCCTGCCCCACATCGTCACCTGCACTGTGGAGCACGACTCCGTCCGCCTGCCCCTGGAGCACCTGGTGGAGGAACAGATGGCCGGTGAGTGCCCAGAATGGGGACAGCCCACTGACCCTGACCGACCGATTTGGTGGGGGAGTTGCCGCAGGGACATGGGGAGCCGTCCCCTCCTGGCTGTCCTCGGGTGCAGGGGGCACAGCCTTTCCTCCGGGCTGCCACCTGGGTGTCAGCAGATGCCATGAGTCTCCCCTGAGGAAAAAGAGATCACCAGGCGTAGACTGGCCGTTGGTATTCCCGAGTGATATTTCAGACCCTGTATACAACCAGTGTTCAAATAGCATGTCTATCAAATGCTAAATGGTGCTTTTCATTGTTTTATTTTAATAATTAAATCTTGGCTTCTACTTCCTCTGAAGGAAGAGGAACGATCGAGTAGTCCTCACCCTCAGGTGGTCAGAACCAGGGGCTCTCGGCGGAGTTGGGGGAGGTGGCCCGGGCCTCACCCCAAGCAGCGCCGGGTAGTTCGAGGGCTGAGTCAGGCCTGGCCTGCAGTGACAGTGCCTGTTGCTGTCACCCAGATGGAACCGATCTGCCACTTTTTCTGTGACATGAGGTCTCAAGACGTGGATGGAGAGCACTAACTTTCCCCAGAGAGCCAAGGCTGACGGTGTCCTTTAAATGAGAAAGTGATTGCCCGGCCAGGCTCAGCGGTGGAGCCTCAACCCTGCACCAAGAGGACACATGCCCGGGTTGTGGGCCGATCCCCACTGGGGGGCATGCAGGAGGCGGCCAATCGATGTCCTCTCTCATCGATGTTTCTATCTCTCCTCCTTTCCTCTCTCTCTAAAATCAGTAAAGGAAAAATATTTCTAATAAGTAAATGAGAAAGTGATTTCTCCTTGGTCTCAGCTTCCCTGCTGACTCCTGGAAGCCTGCAGCCGGCCCGGGGAGAGGCCGGCCCGGGGCTGCTGGTGTGGCCGGGACGCCTTTGGTCTCCTGTGTGGCCACTGGTCTTATCGGAAGGTGGCAGTTTAATTAAAAGGAAAAACAGGCCGGTCCAGCCTGGCCAGGTTGGCTCAGTGGCGAGAGCGTTGGCCCTCAGACCAAAGAGCTGCGGGTTCGATTCCAGCGAGGGCATGTACCTCGGTTGCGATTCGTCCCTGGCCCTGGTCTGGGCTGTGCGGGAAACAACTAATCGGTGTTTCTCTCTCTTTCTCCCTCCCTCCCACTCTATCTGAAGATAAATGGAAAAATATTTTCGGGTGAGGATTAAAAAGTCAGGTCCAACTTTCTTATTAGTTCCTCTTAAATCCTTGCTGCCTTTTTTCTGTCTTGCACAGGGAAGGGCAACTTAGTATACACTGTTAGTAGTTACTGTTGCATTTAGCCTCTTGTTTAAAATCGCACACATTTTTACAAAGTACAAGCTTCCCGGGATGCAAACAGTTATTTAAACATTACAGAAAGGTGTGAAGTGGCCCCGGTCCCGCCCTGCACAGCTGCCTGGACTTTTCCTCGTGCAGGGGGATGAGCCTCTCTAGTCCCCTGCACCGTCCCCATGTGTGGTGCCAAGATCCTACGTGCGGGGGACGAGCCTCTCTAGTCCCCTGCACCGTCCCCGTGTGTGGTGCTAAGGTCCTAAGTGTGGGGGATGAGTCTCTCTAGTCCCCTGCACCGTCCCCATGTGTGGTGCTAAGATCCTACATGCGGGGGATGAGCCTCTCTAGTCCCCTGCACCGTCCCCATGTGCGGTGCCAAGATCCTACGTGCGGGGGACGAGCCTCTCTAGTCCCCTGCACCATCCCCATGTGTGGTGCCAAGATCCTACGTGCGGGGGACGAGCCTCTCTAGTCCCCTGCACCGTCCCCATGTGCGGTGCTCAGATCCTACGTGCAGGGGATGAGCCTCTCTAGTCCCCTGCACCGTCCCCGTGTGCGGTGCTCAGATCCTAAGTACCGGGGATGAGCCTCTCTAGTCCCCTGCACCATCCCCGTGTGCGGTGCTCAGATCCTACGTGCGGGGGACGAGCCTCTCTAGTCCCCTGCACCGTCCCGTGTGTGGTGCTCAGATCCTAAGTGCGGGGACGAGCGCTGGCCCAGCGCGGAGTGAGTGCAGGTCGGGATGTGGGTCCCTGAGACCTAGAACGGCATGGTCCCCAGAGAGCCCACCAGCTGAAGCTCCATTAAGGAAGCATTGAAGTCGGTCATTTCTGGGTGGGGTGAACATGGGGGGCTTACGGTCCTTCTTAGTTTTCGAACATTTACAATCAATCACGTTTCTGACTGTGGAAAATGCTTCTGTGCCGCTGTGCTGTCGAGAGGATGCTTTGCAGGGCTGACGCTGTACTTTGTTCTGTGCTCAGCAGTCACCTTTGTCCCCGTGTCCAAGGTGAGCGGGCAGGCAGAGGCTGACGACCTCCTGGCGGCTGTCCGCCCCACCACGTGCCTCGTGACCGTCATGCTGGCCAATAATGAGACTGGTGTCATCATGGTGAGCGCTTCTCCCGGGGGAAGGGCAGGGCCAGCTCTGCGGGTTGGTCCCCACCTCTCGGCGGGCCTCTCTGTGCTTCCGTCTGCGCGCGCGGCTGGTCCGTGTCACATTTCTCTCGTCCAGTCTCCATCAGCAGCAGCACACCCCACTCTGTTCCCACTGCAGCCCATCCCCGAAGTCAGCCGGCGGGTCAGAGCCCTGAACCAGCAGCGGGCAGCTGCCGGGCTGCCTGTGGTCCTGCTGCACACGGACGCCGCGCAGGCCCTGGGGAAGCGGCGCGTGAGCGTGGAGGACCTGGGCGTGGACTTCCTGACGATCGTGGGGCACAAGGTGCGCAGGGGCCTCCTCTCCTGGGGAGACAGCTCGATACCTGCGGGCTCACCTTCGGGCTGGGCCTGGGAGGTGATGAGCATCTCCCTGCCCTCGGAGCTTCAGAAGGGGTCCAGCTGCTGCTAGGATGTCATTTGACGAGTGCCACTGGGATAGTGGGGCACCCGACCCACAAGGGGCATAGAGGCGTGGCCAGGCCCGGCTGTGGGAGGGCACGAGGTCTCAGGTGTGGAAGCAGGTGGGTCAGCCAGGGGGTGCGTGGTCCCTGCGCAGGGAGAGTGAGCAGGCCCTCCGGCCACTCAGCCCCCCGGGACAGGAGATGTGGGCTTCGGTTTAAAGTGCAGCTCCTGCCCTGGCCGGTTTGACTCAGCGGTTAGAGCGTCGGCCTGCAGTCCAGAGAGACCCGGGTTCAGTTCCCGCTAAGGGCACAAACCTTGGTTGCAGTTTGTCCCCGGCCCTTGTTGGGTTGTGTGGGTGGCAACCACTTGATGTGTCCTTTTCACATCAATGTCTCTCTCTCTCCCTCCCACTCTATCTGAACAAAAAATGGAAAAATATTCTCAGGTAAGGATAAAAAAATAAAATAAAATAAAGTGTGGCTCCTGCCCTGGCTGGTTTTGCTCAGTGGTTAGAGCATTGGCCCTTGGACTGAAAGGTCATGGGTTCAGTTCCCTGTCAAGGGCACGTACCTGGGTTGTAGGTTCAATGCCCAGCCCTGGTTGGGATCGTGCAAGAGGCAACCAGACATTGTGTCTCTCTCACATCAATGTTTCTCTCTCCCTCTTTCCCTCCCTCCCTCTCTTCCACTCTATCACAAATCAATGGAAAAATATCCTCAGGTGAGGATTAAATAAACAAATAAAGTGTGGCTACTGAATGTGGGTTTGGTTTTAATTTTTTAATCCTCACCTGAGGATTTTTTCCATTGCTCTTTAGATAGAGTGGAAGGGGGAGAGAGAAACATAGATGTGAGAGAGATACATCGATGGGTTGCCTCCCACACAACCCCCCACTGGGGCTGGGGATCAAACCTGCATCCCAGGTATGTGCCCTTGACCAGGAATCGAACCTGCGACCCTTCGGTCCGCAGGCTGACGCCCTCACTGCTGAGCCAGACCGGCCAGGCAGTGTGGGTTCAGTCTAGCGATGCGTCTCTCAGGTGGAGCAGGGCGGCTGGGTCACCGTGAAGACCCGCCGGAAGCTGCGCTCGTCTTCCTGGCAGGGGCTAGAGCTGATATTCCTGTGCTCTGTCCGCTGGGCGCTCAGCTGGGCTCCAGGCATGCTGGCCGGGCACTGTGGCACTTAAAGTTTTTGCATAATTTCGATGTGAAAACATGGATTCATGCCCAGAAAATGCCCTCTGTGACCTCTAGTTCCAACTCCTGTCCTTTTACAAGTGTGACCACATGGTGTGCAGGAGGGCCCTGCCCACCATCGCAAGTCCAGCCTGCCCCGCCTCCCAAAGGCTTCTGGGACAGCGGTGGGGCCACACGTTAGGGAGTGTCGCTCTGTGCCTCGGCACGCGTGCGTCCTTGGGAAGTCCTCGCTTAGTAACCACAGGCTTCTCTCCAGTTCTACGGCCCTAGGATCGGAGCCCTTTACGTGCGAGGGCTCGGTGAGCAGACGCCCCTGCACCCCATGCTGTTCGGAGGCGGACAGGAACGGACCTTCAGGCCAGGGTAGGTGAGGGCGAGCGGGGCCTCTGGGAGCACCGTGCTGGCTCGGCGCCCACCCGCCGCTCCCGCGCCTAGGCTCACACACCTGCAGGCTTTTGCGAGACGAAGGGAGTCACCCTTTCTCTCAGCTACTTCAGAGCGTCGATTCCCCTTGTCACCCTGGTTCGGCTGCAACAGAGGTGCCACAGAGCCCCTGGCTGGGACGAGCCGCTGCTCCAGTGGCGGGGCGGGCGGGGCTGTACACGAGCCCCGGGCTCCTTTCTGATGGCGCCTGTGTCCCCGCGGCACACACGGCCGCTAACCAGGGGACAAGGGGACGGTCAGCAACTGGAAGAAGGACGTCAGTGGCTGCCGGTGCTGAGATGACACAGTTACTAGAATCATCTAAGGGGACGACGGGGCGATGACACGATGTTCGAGCAGCCGCCCTCGTGTGTCGCGGTCAATCAGTTCCCGGCTCTGCGCGGTAAAGGAATTTCCACGGAGTAGGTTCTCTTCTCGTACGTCGTCCCTCCCGCTCCGCGTTCCACACTCTCGGCTTCACTCTGGTGAAAGTTGAAGCGCGAAGTGGCGAGGGACGACTGTATCCTCGGGTGAGGATTTAAAACAGAAAAAGCACGTCCAGCCAGTGTGGCTCAGTGGACTGAGCGTAGTTCCCGTGGATGAAGAGGTCCTGGTTCGATTCCCGGTCAGGCACATGCCCGGGTTGTGGGCTCGATCCCCAGTGGGGGGCGTGCAGGAGGCAGCTGGTGGATGTTTCTCTCTGATGTTTCTATCTCTCTCCTTCCTCTCTCTAAAAAATCAATAGAAACATGTTTAGAGAAAGAGAAAGCAGACCATCAGGCGTCAGGACCCACAGTGGGCAGTTCCGGGGGGACGGTGTGGGAAGCAGTTCTTGTTGCTCCAGGTGGAGGCAGAGGAGGGCTGACCGCTCAGTGGAGGGGGCGGGCCTGACAGTGAACTGGGCGAGCCAGGTGGACACCGGGTCCCACACGGGGCCCCACTAGTCCACCCGGCAGCCCCTCCAGACAGCCCCAGGTCTAGACCTTTAGATGCTCCTGGCCTGACTGTCGTCTACAGATGAGGAGGGGAGGAGGGGAGGCCGCGAGGGACCCCATCAGGACCCCACAGCTGGCAGAGGAGCCGGCCAGGGACAGCGCCCAGGCCTCTCGGTTCCCGACCCCATCTCCAGTTCTTCCCAGACCAGCTGTTGGGCAGAGGCAGCCGGGGACAGAGCTCGGGGGATCGGGTTTCGGGCTCACTTATCTGTCGCAGTAGCGGCGCCGTCCCGCAGGCCCGAGGAGACCGGCTCCGGCCAAGCCGGGAGTGATTCCGTCCGCGGTGGGTGTTCCTGGAAGAGCCAGGGCCCCGCGGGGCCGGTCCGATCTGGTGGAGGAGAGCCGGGTCTTGCAGGTTCTCTCCACCTCCTCGAGCTCACACCCATGTGCCGCGCCTTCTGCGCCCCAGCCTCTGGCACCGGTTCAGGGGCTTCGCCGAACCGTCGGCGCAGTGGCCGGAACGAGCTCTTCGGACCCTCGCCTGGTGTGGCCGTGGACCAGGAGGCAGGCCCGGGCCTGAGTCAGAGGGCGGCTCCTCGCGGGTGGAAAGGTCCAGGTGGATTTGTCATATTGCCCGCGCGGCCCCGTCAGCCATCACGGGGCAGGACCAGCCGACTGCAGGAGGGTTTGGGGGCCCCTAGCTGCGTCGAGGTGCCCACGGCACACGCTGAAGGGTGGCGGTGTGATTTTGTCTGTATTTGAACACATGGCTCCACACAGATGGGTTCCTTCTGGGACCCCGTCGGTCGCTTTGCTTGGAAATAGGACGGAATCCCTTGTCTTACAGGACGGAGAACACCCCGATGATCGCCGGCCTCGGGACGGTAAGCCTGCGACGCAGGACAGAGGGAGGGGCCCAGCCTTCCTCCTGCATCCTTCCACTCATGGCTGCCACTCAGCACTTCCCACGCCGCATGGGCGTGTCCCGCCAGGTGGTTCCCTCTAACACTGCTCCTGGAGATGGCATCAGGCCACAGACGTGGGGCTCAGCCCCATGGAACCCCATACTTCAGACCCCAGTCCCAGGTCCAGGTGGTCTCCCAGGCCTCTGACCGCGGGCTCACAGAACTCGGACATTGACTCTAGATCCTGGCTTATCCGGAAGGGATGGGGAAAGGGTGTGGGTGAGCCTCCCCGTGGGAGAGATGCAGAGGGGCGGGGCTTCCCTGCCCTTTCCGGGTGCCACCCCCGCTCCCCCACATGTCCACCAGCCCGGAGCCCTTCCAACCCTGCACTGGGGATCTTACAAGGGCTCTAGTCGCTCGTTGACCCCATTTCAGCCCCCGTCTCCTCTCTGGGGAAGGGGGTGGGGCTGAAACTCCAGGCTTCTGTCGTGGCCTGGCCTTCTGGTGACCAGCCCCGCTCAGGAGCCCGCCCACCGTGGTTCAGAACAGAAGACACTTGCACGCCCGGGAAACCCCAAGGGATTTTGGACCAGGAACGGTCCACGCCGCACTTCCCACGCCGCATGGAACGGGGCGGAGACCAGTGCTAGACCAGCAGGGTCTGGGCCGGGCTGGGGCCAGGGCCGTGTGTCTGCGTCCTGGTCCCTCCCCATCGCTGCCCAGTGGCTTCCTCAGCCCCCAGTGCTAGACCAGCAGGGGCCGGACCAGGCTGGGGCAGGGCCGTGTGTCTGTGTCCTGGTCCCTCACCATCGCTGCCCAGTGGCTTCCTCGGCCCCAGTGCTTCCAGGAGGCCGCGGCCGTGGTCCCCATCGGCAGACGTGTAAGAAAAGTCCTCGATTCAGTTTCAACCTGGAGCTGGTCTGTGGAGTGGGCTCCATGTGCTCAGCGCTGGAGGGGAGCCCTTTCCTCGAGGCTCCCGTGGACTATACAGGCCGCCTGGCAGCAGGGCCCGTGGGCAGGCTGCACGTTGGCCGTCTGCCTGCACGTGGGGGTCTCGGTGGCTACTTCCTGAAGAGATGGCTGTGAGGGTCAGCTGTGGCCCACCTGCACGCTGGCGCCCAGCTGGGGACCCCAGCCCCACAATCACCCCCTCTCTGACTCGGCTGTCCACTCGGGGACACGCCGCCGTCCCCTCCACACTCCTTGCCCATCCTGGTGCTGGCGCACACCCGTCTTCCCAAGGTCTCTTCCCTGGAGGCCGCGTCCTCGCCCACCCGGGCTCCCACCTTCCCTGTACCCCTGAAGGCCCCCTGCTGTCGCCCCTCTTTGCAGCATCAGGGTCTCTAGCAGAATGTCCCCAGCTGGGAAGCTGGTCCGCGCCCCTCCGGAGGCCTCCCTTGTGTTTCTCTGCCACCCCCATGGCCTGCTGCACTCCTCCCGTGACCCTGTGGTCCCGACACCCGCCTCGCTGCCTGGCCCTCCTCTCCCGGGGGCCGAGCCGAGTCGCCACCCCCTCGCCTGCCCAGGGCTGTCTGCGCGGCTGCTCTGGGACACTGCTCTCTGGCCGGCTCCCCTCGCCCTGGCTGCCCCTCCTCTGCCTGACCACCTGTCCTCAGGCTCCATAATGCTCCCCCCACCCCGTGTCCCTGACACCAGCCTGTGCTCAGGTCTGTGAACGGGCAGATCCTGTCTATTCTCCTGGGAGACCCGCGTCCCCACCTGCTCGCGATCCCCATGTCCTCTGGGCCCTCGGCGTATCCTGCTCTCTCCTCCGTCGTCCCCTCCCCCGTGGAGCCTCCTGCCAGCCAGGCTCTCACTTCAGAATCTAGGCGGTGCCTCGATCCCGCCCTGTCGCCCAGGCTGGGTGCAGCGGCCCGGCCTGTCTGCCCCGTCTCCACGGTCACAGCGAGGATCTGCCTCTGGTCCACCTTCTTGGCCACCGACAACCAGTCACCCCACTCGTGGCCGACACCTGCCCGTCTCCCCTTCTCCACACAGCACCGAGTAGCAGTGCCCATCAGGCTGGACCCTGTGCACTTAGGCTGAGGTCCCCCGTCACCCTTCTGCCCCGGGGCACACTCACCTTTCCTCAGCAGTGACCTTGAAGGTCATGGCCACGGTGCCCGGAACACTTTCCCCAGCTGCCATCTCCACGCCCCGCCCCTCGTGGCCACACCCCTGCAGAGCGCTCACCCAAGCCCCTGTCCCGTGTGTGTCCGTCATGTCTGTCTGTCTCTGGGCGTGCTTTGAGGGCTGGGGCAGCTCGGGCAAGGGGGTGTCGAGTCCGGTGGCCCTGCAGCCACGACCACGACCTCACGGGCCGTCCACAAGTGCTGTCTGTGACGGCCCAGAAGGAGGGCGGTTGGAGGAAGCATCACCTGTCAGTCATCAGGAGTTGTTACCCCTGCTCCTTAGAGCTCTTTGCTGCCCTTTGCTTCACGATGATTGGACGAGCTCTCACATTGCTGCCTCTGTCCCCAGGCTGCCGAGCTGGTGACCGAGAACTGCGAGGCTTACGAGGCCCACATGAGGGACGTCCGAGACTACCTGGAGGAGCGGCTGCTGGTGCGTGCCCCTCAGCCCTGAGCCGGGGTCACCAGCCTCCTCTGTCCTGCCCGTGGGCGATGAGGACCGGGCCTCGGCCCAGGACGTGGGTTCGATTGTGCTGGGCGAAAGCAGCTATATAAACAAACCCAGTGCCCGGGGTGGGGCTTCTGGGAGCCTAGGTCACAACTGAAGAATTAAATACTGAGACAAGACATAATCCTGAGTCGGAGAGCCCCAGACAGGGACCAGACCAATGGATTCTTTTCCCGACTCCAGATGGAAGCACGTGAGATGGTCCATTTAATGACTGGGTGTAGGAGACCCGTGTGTGCGCAGAATGCGTGTCTCCTAATTACCTTCGCTCTCCGTGGTCCGTCTGGGAAGGAGCTGACCCATAAGAACCACTTTGTGTGTTGAGGTTGAGGTTTTGTTCCCCAGAAAAGTCTAAAGTTCAAACAGGTGGTGGGGCGGGGCCTGTGAAGCTGTTACTGAATATTTCATTAATTTTTAGGCTGAATTTGGTGAGAAAATCCATCTGAACAGCCAGTTCCCGGGAACTGAACGACTCCCCAACACGTGTAACTTCTCCTGCCGGGGACCCCAGCTCCAAGGTGACGGCTGACTCCTGGCGCGGGGCGTGGTGGGCACAGGCTGGGCTGGGCTGTGCTGAGGTGACGCCGAGGGAACGGCGCTGTCGTGGCCTGGGCAGTGTGACACTGCTGTCTCCCTGACGTCACTGCTCGGGACCCAGGGCGAGGGGTGCCCACACGCCCAGTCTGCGTGCCCACCTGAACCCTGCTGAGGCAGGAGAGAAAGTCGACTGACTACCTTTAGGCTGGTGGGTCCTTTTTGCCAGCAGATTCTACAGCGTAGTCTATGAGGGTGAAAGAGAGCAGGGACAATCAACTTTAAAAGTGACTGAGCGTAAGGACAGGTGCACACTTGTGGCTTTTCTCTGATCCTGCGACAGCCCTCCAGTGCTGTGAGCGGTCAGGATGCTGCGTTCCAGATGCAGGGAGCAGCTGTCCGAGGCCCCGAGCGCAGGCCCGAGACCTGCTGTGTCTCACTGGGGGCAGATGGAGGCCCCGGTGAGCCACGTCTACAGAGCACGTCTGCTTCTTAGGAGAAAAGGTTGCTGCTTGCTTGTTGTCCTGGGTTACAGAGCATGGTTCGCACCACGAAGCGCTCTGGGCAGCATCACGCCGTGTTCATGAGAACCTGGGCTGCAGCGTTCAGGGGGAGAGGCAGCCAGGGACACTAAACCCCTGTCCCCTTTCCCCTTCGCCTGGGGCAGACTGTGCTCACGGACAACCTGGCCTCACGTGAATGGGACAGACTCTCGGTTACTCTTGTGATCTCTACCTGTGAGAGGAGGGGGTGCCTTCTGGCCTCATGGAGACGGCTGCCTAGTGCCTCCACCTTTAGAAAACGCAGGTTCCATTGAACCTATTACCAGGACAAGAAATCACTAAGTGAGGCAGGCAGTGGGCAGGGAATAACATTTCCGAGAACAGTTTTATGAGCAGAATAATGCTGGCTTCTCTGCAACCCAGGGAGAGGATGCATGACCCCTGGGTCCCCCTGAGGTTTCTCTCTCCTGCGCTGGGGGTGGGGAGTGGCACGAGGGGGGGCCCAGGACTTTCCTCCTCAGAGCCCGTGTGCTGTGTCTCCCCAGGCCGCTTGGTGCTGGCGCAGTGCAGGACGCTGCTGGCCAGCGTGGGGGCCGCGTGCCACTCGGACCACGGGGACCGGTAAGTGTTCTCCAGGGCACATCACAGAGCCTGCAGCCTGGTGGGGACATAGAAAGGGACCCTGCACAGGCCCCAGGGGCGGGCGGGAGCTGCACCTGAAGCAGGGCCCGGGCTTGGCCAGAGGACACGAGCTTCAGGCCCGGCAGGGACAGCAGGGCCCACAGCAGGGCGCTCGCGGTGTCCTCAAGGGAGTAGGGCTCCTGAAAGGTTCGGCACAACCAAGTACGGGTTTCAGGGGAGGGGTATGGGATGGCAGGCCCCGGGGCAGTGATGGCCTGGGCCAGGCACCCTGAGAAAGAGAAGGGGGTTCGGTTTCTGGCTGCTGTGAGTGGGGTCTGCCGAGGTGGGGTGAGGCTGAGTGAAGAGGCCCTGGGCCTGCAGGGCACAGAGACATGGGCGTGGTCAGCAGGCAGGAGGGGCAGTTCCCAGAGGAGTGGCCCCTGCGCCGGGGCTGTGAGGGCGGCGGAGCCACGGTCCGGAGCAGCGAGGCCTGAGCGCAGGGAAGGCTCAGGGCTGCCGGCGCTCAGGGGATGCCCACCACGGCCCCCGGGACGATCTGAGGGGCTCATTTCCAAGATGAAGAGACGAGCAGAGTGGTCCAGCTCCAGGTGCAGCTGACTTCACAGCCACGGTGGGGGAGGGGCAGGGCTGGCAGCACAGCTCGGAAGGGATAAGGGCGGCCCTGCCGGTGTGGCTCAGCAGTTAGAGCGTCGGCCTGCGGTCCAGAGAGCCCCGGGTTCGGATCCCGCTAAGGGCACGTACTTCGGTTGCAGTTTGTCCCCGGCCCTGGTTGGTCGTGCGGGTGGCAGCCACTCAATGTGTCCCTTTCACGTCGATGTTTCTCTTCCTCCTATTCTATCTGAACAAAAATGGAACAATGTCCTCAGGTGAGGATAAAAAAAAAAGAAGGGACAAGCCTCGTGGCCTGATGTGGGGGGTGCTCGGTGCCCTGTGGGTGTGGGTGGGCCCCTGTGGCAGGACCTCCTGGCATAGAAGGTCACCCTCCCAGGGAAGGCGGGCCGGGCTGAGGCTGTCGCTGCCAGCCGGCCCTGCCCTCAGCCGTGACTGGAGGTGGCGGAACCACCCGCCAGCCGGCCCTGCACTCAAAGGCATGGAGCTGGGGTTTCAGGCAGAGGTCCAGCCACCCACTCGGCCATGCTGTTTGGGCCCCTGGCCTGTGGCAGTCTGCGGAGGCAGACCCTACTAGGGGATTTGAGGACCCCCCCTGCCAGCTTCACTCAGCCCAGCTTCAGAGCCACTGTCCATAAATATGGGCTGGACCTGCATGTGCAAAGCTCTGTACTGTGTGCTCTGGAAAACCCAGAGCAGACTCAAACACTGTGTGTGCGTGTACATGCATGTGTGTACATGCATGCACATATGCGTGAGTATGTGTACGTGTGAGTGTACACATGTGTGGGTATGTACATGTGTGTGTGTGTGCATGTATGTGAGTGTGCACACCTGTGTGACTGCATGAGTTTGTGAGTGCGCGTGTGCACATGAGTGCGAGTGTGTGTGTGTGTGCATGAGTGCATGTGTACGTGCATGTGTGAGTGTACTCACGTGTCTGTGCATCCCCTTAAGACCTGAAAACCCCTGCATCCCAGGCCAGCCACACCGACGCAGCAGCTGGGGTGTGTCCGTGCTCCGGGGCAGAGGGTCTGTTCTGGGAGAGCCGCAGTACTGACCACAGAGGCCGTAGGCCCAGAGACCGAGGGGGCTTGAGCTGGACCTGGAAGGCGGGTGGGCTGAGTGTGTCTGCAGAGGCGGGTGGGGAGCTGGCCAAGAGCAGAAGGGGCTCAGTCCCTTCCCTGTCTTGTCTCCGTGACGGCTAATGCTACTCTCCTGCCCCCTACAGGCCGTCCCCGGTGCTGCTGAGCTGCGGCATCCCCTTTGACGTGGCAAGGAACGCGCTGAGGCTCAGCGTGGGCCGCAGCACCACCCGGGCCGAGGTGGACCTCGTGGTGCAGGACCTCAGGCAGGCCGTGGCCCGGCTGGAGGGCCGGCCTGGTGCTGAGGCCGCCTCGTAGGCCGCCTTCGAGGGCTGTGCCAGGGTGACTCCCGGAGCGTCTGAGGGGGGCTGACGGCTCCCCCGCATGCGGCTCAGCAGGAAGTGGGCCCACGGGCACACAGGCCCAGGACACACTGACGTGGGCCCGTCACTGACCCTGCTGCCCAGTGGCCAGGTTGGAGTGGAAACTGGCTGTGACCACAGTCCCTTCGGGAAGCCCGTGGAAGGTGGCATTTGTATCAGGAAGCTCAGGTCCTAGTGTTATAGTGACTGTCGTCAGGGGAACAGGAAGCCGGGGGTTCTGTGGCCATGGCCTCCTGTACGTTTGCAGAGCGCCAGTCTCTGCGCCCTCCCCGCGGGCCCTGCCCAGCCCTTTCCGATGGCCAGGCCCTGCCAGCTGTCCCCGCTCCCCAGCCCCGCCCACCCCGCAGGACTCCGGCCTCCCCACCGGTCACCGGGCGCCTGTCTTCCCTTCAGGGGTTCGCTCGGGGTTGCAGCTCGCAGGCACTGTCTCCACCGAGGCTCGTGTGCCTGGTCCCTGAGGTGGGAACCGTGGCCCACGCACTCCCACCTGGATGTGCCTGCAGGACCCTCCTCACAAGTGCTCTGAGCTTCTCACGTCAGGTGTCGTGTCTCTCGGAGGCCACAGCAGTGACGTTGATCCACACCCACTGTGCGGTCTGTAGCGCGGACAGCGACAGGAGGGCATCGCGGAACCAGCGTCGGTGGTGAAATGAACCAATAAAGCTTCCGGCACTTGTGCTGGGCACGCGTGGCTTTCCCGTGGCCTCTCTCGGGCACCGGCCGTCCCAGCTGGTTGTGCAGAAGCCCCGCTCCTGGCCGGTGGTCCCACTCCAGCTGAAGGGATCCCTCACGGCACTCGGGGCCCAGGAGGCGGGTGTCCTTCTGCCTCAGGGAGGCTGTGGGCCCAGCCCCGCGTCTAGGGAATGCGCCTGGGACAGTGGCCACCCGCAGACTCGGTCCCTGTGGTGGGCAGGGGCTGAGGCAGGGCCCCGAGCCCCTCCTCTCCTCCGGGCCTTCCTGCACCCAGGGTGGCCCTGACAGCCCGCTGAGCACCAGCGAAGATTTCCGGGGGGGGGGGGTGCTCGACGTGTATGAGAAGCCAGAGCATTTGGACCCCAACACCTAGTGGCAACTTCCCCAGCGTGGCCCCACTGAGGCTGGGTCTGCCCGTGAGGAGCCCCAGGGGGTACGGTCTTGGGGCTACTGCCCACACTAGGGGAGCAGACACTGGGGAGCCTGCTGCTTTCTGGGGAGGGTCTCGTAACTAAACGGGCTGGATGCGGGCAGTTCATCCCCGGCTGAGACCACACGTTTCCTGGGCCCTCGCCCCGTGGGAGGAAGAGGATGGTCCAGAGCGAGGCACGTCCACAGGCTGGCGCCCACCCCGACCTGAACGTGGTGCGGGCCTGCCCTGCCCCGTGTCCTCTGCCCACCAGGGCCCGGCACAGCAGGAGCGACCCAGGCAGGGCTGCGAGGCCCATCCCCGAGGCCTGCCCCTGCCCCGTGTCCTCTGCCCACCAGGGCTCAGTACAGCAGGAGCGACCCAGGCAGGGCTGCGAGGCCCATCCCCGAGGCCTGCCCCTGCCCCGTGTCCTCTGCCCACCAGGGCTCAGTACAGCAGAAGCGACCCAGGCAGGGCTGCGAGGCCCATGGCCCCGAGGCCTGGCACTCCCTGCGTCCGTTTCCTCTTCCGCCGCCCAGGCCCGGCACAGCAGGAGCGACCCAGGCAGGGCTGCGAGGGCCCATCCCCGAGGCCTGCCCCTGCCACCGGTCCTCTGCCCACCAGGGGCTCAGTAAACAGCAGAATCGACCCAGGCAGGGCTGCGAGGCCCATCCCCTGAGGCCTGCCCCTGCCCCGTGTCCCTCTGCCCACCAGTGTCCAGTACAGCATAAGCTACCCAGGCATGCTGCGAGGCCCATCCCCAAGGCCTGCCCCTTCCCCGTGTCCCTCGCCCCACCAGGGCCCGCACAGCATGAGACGACCCAGGCATGGCTGCTGAGGCCCATCCCCGAGGCCTGCCCCTGCCCCGTTGTCCTCTGCCCACCAGGGCTCGTACAGCAGAAGCGACCCAGGCAGGGCTGCGAGGCCCATCCCCGAGGCCTGCCCCTGCCCCGTGTCCTCTGCCCACCAGGGCTCAGTACAGCAGAAGCGACCCAGGCAGGGCTGCGAGGCCCATCCCCAAGGCCTGCCCCTGCCCCGTGTCCTCTGCCCACCAGGGCTCGGTACAGCAGAAGCGACCCAGGCAGGGCTGCGAGGCCCATCCCCGAGGCCTGCCCCACCCCCGCACCCCGCCGCCTCCCATCTGCCCTGTGGGCGGCTTATCGGGTAACCAGAGCCGGGAGGTGCGTCCACGCCTGAAACAGGAAGCCCGGGCCTGTGCGTGAGCCCCGAGAGCCCGCCGCCGGCCGGGCTGGAGGATGGAGGGGCAGCGGGCGCTCGCGGCCGCCAAGGACGGGGACCTGGCCACCTTGGAGCAGCTGCTGGAGGCCGGTGCCCTGGGCCCGGGCATCGTCGACGCCCTGGGGGCCGGCTTGGTGCACCACGCCACTCGGGCTGGCCAACTGGCCTGTGTCAAGTTCCTGGTGCAGCGGGCCAAGCTGCCTGGCAACCAGCGGGCCCACAACGGGGCCACCCCGGTGCACGACGCAGCCGCCACCGGCAGTCTGGCCGAGCTCTGCTGGCTGGTGCGCGAAGGGGGCTGCGGTCTGCAGGTGAGCAGGGCCCGGCGGAGGCACAGTGTCCATGTGGCGAGAGGGAGGAGTGAGCCGTGAGCCCGATGGTCCACAGCCCTGGACTCTCTCTCTCAGGGACTCACCGCGCAAACCCCGTGGTCAGTCTGTGCACCCCGTCTCTGCCCCCGCCCCCACCCCACAAAGCCCTTGCAAGCCAAGGCTGCCTCCTAAACCACCTGTGTCCCTGTCACAAACACAGGGAAGCCACTCGGTGCCCCCCCAACAGGAGTGCCAGGCCTTGCTGTGGGGGTACGGCCGGTTCTCAGCAGGCCTGAGCCCTGGGACCTGTCTCGGGTCCACGAAGGGTCCGGGCGGGTGCCGTGCGCCCTGGGGCTCAGGCGCCGGAGCCCATGGGTGACGGCCGGGCGGATAGAGACCGTCTCGGGCTCAGTGATGGGCTTGTGGGGGCATTTCTCCCAGGGCCCACCCTTGTCCTGTTCCTGCCTGTTCGCTGCCCCTTCGTGTGGGACGACAGTGAGCTCCGACAGCCAAATGGGCATCGGTGACCCGCTAGGTCCAGGAAAGGGGCAACTCGCTGCTCACAGCCCGCGGGGCGGCCCGGCAGGAGCGCTGCCTGTCTGCGGGGAGGAGGCCCAGTCTGCCGATCCCGCAGCGGACACGCCACCCTGGCACGGGGGTGGCGCTTGGGGTGGGGGCCAGGGCCAAGGGGCAGTGTCCAGGACCCACAGGGGCCCGCCACGCCGGGCAGGGCACTGCTCCCGCAGGGGATCCCACATGAGGCCGCGTCACGGATTTGGCCCCAGACTGGACTTGAGTGCCAGCCCGGCCTCTCACCTTGAGCCGGGCACCTCGCTCAGTCTGAAGAGAAGGCCTCCCTCGCCTTGGACAGAGCAGGGGGGAGGAGGGAGCAGAAGCCCCCAGGCAGGCGGGTCCCAGCGGGCGGACCCTGAGGCTGCCTCTGGCTGCCCAGCGGGGTGCATCCGGGCCTGCGACCCACCCCCCCTGCCTGGGCCCCGGCAGGACCAAGACGCCTCGGGTGTCTCCCCGCTACACCTGGCCGCCCGCTTCGCCCACCCGGTGCTGGTGGAGTGGCTGCTCCGGGAGGGCCACGCGGCCACGCTGGAGACGCTGGAAGGGGCCTTGCCGCTGCACCACGCCGCGGTCAGCGGGGACCTGACCTGCCTGAAGCTCCTGACGGCCGCGCACAGCAGGTGAGGGCGGGAGGCCCCTGCCGGGTCTGGGTCTGGCCCCGGGCGGCTGAGGGAGGGCAGAGGAAGCCAGCTGGATGCGGCCGTGGGCAGGCACGCAGGGACAGGAGACCGAAGGGCAAGCCTGGCTGTCCCCACAGTCCCCCGTGTCGGTGTAGAGCGGTGTTCTGAGTCCTGGTCTCCCGTCCCGAGCCCTGGGCAATGGCCTTTGGGCCTCACGCCTCTTCAGATTGTCCCCAGGGGTCATGCTGGCCACGGGGCGTCTCTTAGACCTGTAGTTTTTAAAGTATTTCCTGACATTTGAAAGCTGGGAGACTTCACATTAAAACATGCACACACATCACATGCACGTGCATGCACAAACACATAGGCACATACAGGCACACACGTGAGCACACAACACACACACACAAATGGGAAGGCCCGTGCTCCACAGGCCCCCATTCCCACCTGGCATCCGCTGCAGGATGAAGTCGGTCACCAGGAGATGGGGTGGGCCTTGGGTAGGGGACACCCCTCCCTAAAGTGACTCACCTGGCCCTGCAGCCGGTGGAGGCGGAGGGAACTCAGGAAATCCCAGAACCCTGCTCCGGGCCCCAAATGCCAGGCCTGGGCACCCACAGACTAGTGTCGGGCACACAGTGCTCCCTGTTAGCGTGGGTCCGGCTCTGAGACCCCGGGTAGTCACCCTGCTGACCGGCCCAGGGCGCACGGTGCTCCCTGTTAGCGTGGGCCCGGCTCTGAGACCCCGGTAGTCACCCTGCTGACCGGCCCAGGGCGCACGGTGCTCCCTGTTAGCGTGGGCCCGGCTCTGAGACCCCGGGTAGTCACCCTGCTGACCGGCCCAGGGCGCACGGTGCTCCCTGTTAGCGTGGGCCCGGCTCTGAGACCCGGGTAGTCACCCTGCTGACCGGCCCAGGGCGCACGGTGCTCCCTGTTAGCGTGGGCCCGGCTCTGAGACCCCGGGTAGTCACCCTGCTGACCGGCCCAGGGCGCACGGTGCTCCCTGTTAGCGTGGGCCCGGCTCTGAGACCCCCGGGTAGTCAGCCTGCTGACCAGCTCAGGCTCTCAGTGCTCCCTGTTAGAGTGGGCCCAGCTCTGAGACCCCGGTAGTCACCCTGCTGACCGGCCCAGGGCGCACGGTGCTCCCTGTTAGCGTGGGCCCGGCTCTGAGACCCCCGGGTAGTCACCCTGCTGACCGGCCCAGGGCGCACGGTGCTCCCTGTTAGCGTGGGCCCGGCTCTGAGACCCCCGGGTAGTCACCCTGCTGACCGGCCCAGGGCGCACGGTGCTCCCTGTTAGCGTGGGCCCAGCTCTGAGACCCCGGTAGTCACCCTGCTGACCGGCCCAGGGCGCACGGTGCTCCCTGTTAGCGTGGGCCCGGCTCTGAGACCCCCGGGTAGTCACCCTGCTGACCGGCCCAGGGCGCACGGTGCTCCCTGTTAGCGTGGGCCCGGGTCTGAGACCCCCGGGTAGTCACCCTGCTGACCAGCCCCAGGGCTCACACAGCTTAAGTGGGGGAGAGGGTGGAGCTAGATTCCAGAGGTCAGAGCCCCACCTCTCCCAGGTGGTTCCCTTGGGCAGTAGACAACCTGTGCACCCTGCAGGGGACTGGCTGGGACCCCTCAGCGGGTAAGGGAGGGGGGCCGGCCAAGTGCTGGGCCTCCCCTCCCCTCCATCTGGGTCCTCAGCTGGGACAGTCCCCACCCGCACCCCAGCGACCCCTGGCCGGCCCTCTGAACCCATCGTCCCCGCAGCAGCGTGAACCGGCGGACGCGCAGCGGCGCCTCCCCGCTCTACCTGGCCT